GCATTAATTTAACTTATGAATCAGGAATGAAAAAATTAAAATTCCTAATTTAATATCTCACAACATTTTTCAAAAAAAAAAGATAATTTAAGAATTCAACGTATGTATATTTGTGAATTTCACATAAAAATTCAAATATTTAATAAAAAAAAAAACATTAATAGCTTTTATAATACTCTATTAAACGTAGTTAACACACAGTTACAAACCAAAATAATTACAAACGAATTCACTCCTAATTCCAAATGAAATCTTGCATCAATTTAACTTGTGAATCAGGAATGAAAAAATTAAAATTCCTAATTTAATATCTCACAACATTTTTCAAAAAAAAAAAAAAATAATTTAAGAATTCAACGTATTAATATGTATATTTGTGAATTTGTCATAAAAATCCATATATTTAATAAAAAAAAAAGACATTAATAGCTTTTATAATACTCTATTAGACGTAGTTAACACACAGTTACAAACCAAAATAATTACAAACGAATTCATTGCTAATTTCAAATGAAATCTTGCATTAATTTAATTTGTGAATCAGGAATGAAAAAATTAAAATTCCTAATTTAATATCTCACAACATTTTCCAAAAAAAAAGATAATTTAAGAATTCAACGTATTAATACGTGTATTTGTGAATTTGACATAAAAATCCATATATTTAATGAAAAAAAAGAGACATTAATAGCTTTCATAATACACGTAGCTAGCACACAGTTACAACTACCGAGATAACTGCAAACGAAATTCTTCCAAGTAAAATGCACCTTGTCAAAAAAGATGAGAACGTTAATGCACGTTTGGGAACGTAGAAGCCGATCGGAGTTAAAGGGAGTGGCAATCACGGTCGTAATCGTTAGAGCGAAGGCGCGACGACGTCGTTTCCGACCAAGTTTCGAGGGAAACCTTGCCTGTAAATTTCGTGGCGGGCGTAACTCAAACGATAATTGTTATCGAACGTCGCGTCGTGTCGCGTTCGCGTCCCATCGGGAAACGTGAAACGCGAGTCGAGACGATCGGCCTTAACGATCCCAATTGTCGTAAATAAGAGAGGTGGAAAGTCAATGGCTTCGGTAGCGGGGTAGCTTCCTTGTCCCTTTTCTTTCCTCTTTACTGACCGAAACATTTGTTTTTCATTGTCTCAGTTCGAGAAGAGGAACGGTAGCACCAGAGCCGAGGTTGTCCACGATGCCATCCAAGTCGCCAATATCGCGGACATGGTGAGTGAAAATTGTTTCTATCTAGCTATTTACGTGTACTGGAGAAATGGCAAAAGTTTCATATCCGTGTAAAATCTAAAGCGTATCAAAATGTAGATTCTGTTAGAGTACGGTTTGAATTTATATTAAAAATATTTGAATTTATATTAAAAATAGAATTCATCGTGGTTTTAACTTGTATTAAAAATAGAACTCGTTGAATTCTTTCAGTCATAATTTTAGAATAATTAGAATATACATTGATTCGCTTGTTCTTAAATAAAATCATATATAAGGAGCACAAGTTATATAATAGATATAAATCATTTCAATTAAACTATAATATATTGAGAATTGTATTATATTATCATTAGATATGTAAGATTAGATTTTATTATGTGAAACTACACTGTATTATAATATTATAATAATATAGTGTAGCTTTTTTAAGTAGCTTCAATAATTATATTATTATTAGACATATAAGATTAGATTTTATTGTGTAAAACTACACTCTATTATAACATTATAATAATATAGTGTAGCTTTTTAATGTATTTAATAATAATTCATATACTGTCAGGCATTATACTACAGTTTTAATTAATATTAAAAATAGAATTGATCAAATTTTTTGTTACAATTTCAAGATATATTACTTCACTCGTTCTTTAATGAAACTATATATCAGGAGCATAAGTCACAGACACATATATTTTAATTGATTTAATATATTAAAGATTGAGATTTATATTATTATATTGTATTATTATATATATCATGATAATATAATACAATTTTTGATTATGTTAGTTTTCAATTAATTTAATATATTAAAAAATATAATAATTCAATTAAAAAAATATATCTGTTTTTAACAGAGAACATAAGTCTCAGGACTTTTTTCTATTCTTCCATCAGTAGACTAGTATCTATCATAAAAGTTGAAAATGAATCCTTGTTTTATTATCTTGAAACTTTAAACTACGTTATATAAAAAAATAATTGGACCACAGAAAGCTACCAACTCTCAATGATCTGAAATTGAGTAAATTTAATTTGAAAACTTTGAGTAAAAAGAAAAATTGAGCATGTTTCACTGATTTCCATTAGATATTTTATGTCTTGTTTTTGTTTCACAGTGTTTTTAAATGTAATTTATCTAATAATGATTGGACAATAAAGACTAATAATGACTTATCCAATAATGACTAAACAGTAGAGTGTAGATTATATCAGTAAATAGATAGATCAGTAAATATTATATCAGTAAATAGGTAGATCAGTAAATAGACAAGTAAATATTATATCAGTAAATAGACAAGTCTAGAATGATAATGATGCAAGGATTGTTTTAATGATAAATTCTTACAAAATAAGGATGGTTCATTAATTTTTCTTGTCATCTCGAAGGTTGCCAAGGTTTCTACACAATCACAATTCGTTTTGCCCAATTGTGATTTGTAAATCGAGGAGTTTTATGCATTTTTAAATTTTTATGATTATGGAATTTTTAAATTTCTATCACCAAAGAATTAGAACTTAAATAAAAGAATTTGCTTTATCTGTCGTGTGCTGTAACAAATATTCTGTTGTATTGTACGCATTCTGTGCGTTTTTTCTAACTTCAAATTTTTAAAATCTAGTGACTATAATAATAATAATAAATACAAGAGAAATTTAGTAAAACCTAATAACTAATAATAAGTAAATAATATTAAATAAATAAATAATAATGGTAAACCTAATAACTAGTAGTAAATAATAATAGTAAACCTAATAACTAATAATAAATAAATAGTAATAAATAAATAATAATGGTAAACCTAATAACTAATAATAAATTAATAAATAATAAATAAATAATAATAATAACTAATAATAAATAAATAGTAATAAATAAATAATAATGGTAAACCTAATCACTAATAATAAATTAATAAATAATAAATAAATAATAATAATAACTAATAATAAATAAATAATAATAAATGCAAGAGAAATCTAGTAAAAACTGTGCATTTACAATTTTTCCCCGCTTTCTGTCCGCAGTATTTCCGTACGTTAAACACTAGAGTCTCCGTCATATACATCGAAACCTGGCAGGGCAGGAACCAGGCGGACATCACCGCGGGCATGGATATCGGTGTCGCTTTGCTCAATTTAAACGATTACGCGATGCGAAGGATGTTCCAAGTTTCTCAAGACACCACGCAGCTACTCACGTAAGTGTCGCCAGGTATAATAACATACCGGCTGATTTGATCGCAAGTCTGATCGTTCTCTCTCTCCAAGGAGTTGCTCATAGAAATTGGAATTCATTAAAATGCACAGGGGTGAAACGTTCTACGGAGAATCGGGGGTGGCCGTACCTTCGACCGTCTGCAAACAGAAATCCGTAGGGATCAGCGTCGACTTGAACACCTACGAGCCTCATCTTTTAGCTGGTACTATGGCTCACATGATCGGCCACAATATCGGCATGAGCCACGACGACGGAAGTTAGTTCTCGTTGAAAGAGTAATTTAACAATCGAGGATTTCGCCGTTCGTTCGTCACTTTTCATTCTTTGAATTTGTCATTGTCTGTCGTAAAAAAAAAAAAAAATTAACGTAAAAATTAACGACGATGTTATGATTAATATCGACACGGTATTATAATATTGTTACAACTGAATGTTAACAATATTTATCAATATTAATTAACGCAAGATCAATATTTGTTATTTTTGTTTGTTTGTTTAATAAACCATTTGCAAGTGGTCTCTCATTCGAGTTGATTCACCAAAATTAAACAGCAAATGGCCCTTTCAATTTTTATCACCGCATTACCTTTGGGGAAATTGAACACTTATGCGTGAAAGTAGAATTTAATTTAATACCCGATGGAATAGAAATTTACAATTGAAGTTCAATTAATTTATAATGTAATTACATAAATATAATTACACGCTGTAATTTGATATTACGTGTCAATTTAATAATTTATTATACTATAATTCAAATACGTGATTTAATCATCGTTGTGATTAATAATTTAACATAAAATTCAAATAATTTTTCACGATCCGAAGAATTTGCAAATTCAGCTGTTTATCTATCTTGAAAATGAGAGACGCACGGACGGTTGAACGATATTTTAATTTATTGAAAAAAAGAAAAAAGAAAGAAGAGAAAGAGAGTCGAAGAAAGGTAGTTTGCTAAAATTCGAACTGATCGCAGGAAGCGAGTGCATCTGCCGCGAATGGCACGGATGCATCATGGCTCAATCGATCGTGGGCTTGGAGAACGTTCAGCCGTACACGTTTTCCGAGTGTAGTAAAACAGATTACATAGAGTCGTTAAGAAGCGGCAACGGCTTCTGTCTTTTGAATAAACCAAACGAGGTAAGAGACCAAGGAGACCAGGTAAGAAAATCTAGTTTTTACTCTCGCGTAAACCCATCGAATCGCGTCGCGTCGTTTCGTTTTTTTATTCGCTTCGCGTCTCTTGGAAAGTCAGTCGTGCACGAGTTGCAAGAAATTCGAGATTTATTACTGTCGTAGTTACGATCAGATTTATCCCCTTTAACAGTCGAATAAAGTTATGAATATCGAACTGGAATACACATCATTTTCGTGATGACACAGGCTTTGAGATTCTTTTGCAAATGACGAAACACGTAGGAAAGTATGTGTCGCAAATTTTTATTTAATAGTTACCGTTTTCTTAGTTAGGATTTTATTTGTTATTAATTAGGAAATCTAGAACTTTCGAGAATTTCGAAAGTACGACGATGGCACATTTTTGATAAGAAGATTTAAACGACGAGATTGTTGTGCAATTTTCTTTTTTCACGGAATTACAATAGTGTAGCAACCGGTCTTTAAATAGGTATCAAGATATTGCAGATAAATATAAATCATTATATTTAAATATTATTAATTAAAATGATTTAATTGATTTAATTTAATAATTATGATTAATTAAAATTAACGATTCTGTTTGAATAAAAATCAATATTAATTTTGACAAGAATATTCGTATCTCTTCACCAAGAAAAAAAAAAAATCTGAAATTCGACAATTTTTCATGTGCTAATATTTCCGTCCATTTTTTTTTTTTTTTTCTAATTTTCTCACCGTCAATCCGTGTTAGAAACAACACATTGTACATTCGTTCTACTCGAATTTTACTATTCAACAATCTATATTCATTCGATAGGCAATAACTCAAAAATATGAAAAATACTCTATCCAAAGTCCTTACTCGAGATATATAAACTGTTAAGGGATTAAACAGCTAGAATTTACAAAAGAGTTTGACAAATAGCCCGCCTTATTACTTTGCTATTTATTTGACGTGATTAACCCATTGTGACGCAATGGAAGCGACACATTGTGCAGAGCACAGTAGAACCTCGTTTATGGAAACTAGTTAATAGTTATAAACCTCCGATATACGATCTCATAATTGACTAACTTTTGTTATCCTTATCCACTATCTCTTACTACCCAAACAAATAGGAGAAAGTTAGAGAGCTTTATTGAGCTCCATTACCCGAACTCATCGGTTATTCGAATGAACACTTGCCACGTGTTCTATTGTATGTTAAACCTCTCGCTACCGTGGACAGGATGATATCTCCCCGCAAATATCTAACTAAAAGATAATTTAATAAATGACACTAGAAGAAAGATTTTAATTTTAATTTTAATTTTAATCGTGCGCATCCAAAAATTTAACGACCAATTTCATATACATCTGAGAGATACATAAATTGTCATACCTTCAGTTTTATTATTGCGATTGAATACACACGATTAAATTACAGTCAACCCTCACGTGACGCGGCATTCTAAAAACAAAAATTCTAAGCAAAAATTGGGACAACTTTTCTATGATACAGTGTTCACCCTCGTGTAGCATAAAATGAATTTTTCCGTCACACTGTTTCAGTATTACATAATTAAGTTTCTAATCAAGTTTTGAATATAATGATAACTTTTCTTTGTAATGCAAAAATCAACATTCCAATTGATAGTTTATGTTTGAATACGTAACAAATATTCAAAAAAATGTACGAGCATTTATCTGGGAAAATTATTAAAAATTATTAAAAACCTGTGAAACATATACTTTCTTTAAATATCGTTTAAATAAATGGTGTATATCATTAAACTTGTCTTTAAAAAATACCAATTTCATCAATGTACACAATAACTGTGTTTGTACCTCTAATTTTCGAGATATTTGTCGAAATAGATTCCGAACTTTGAGGGTAGCTTACATCCCTTTAACGTGAATCGATAACCGTTTAACGAATTGCTGATAAAAAAAAAAGAAATACGCGCTAAATATATATTTTTTTTTCTTTTGAAAAAAATACATTCTAAATTAAATTTTATTAAAATTGGTGATTGACCTTTCAGTGCGCTCCCTTTTAGTACCTCGCAACTTTTTTATACATCGCCTAGAACTGCAAAGCACCGTCGTAAAAACAGAACGCGTAAAAGTCTCGTTGAAAAGAACGTACTACTTTTTCAGTAGACGTTCTGTAAAAATGAGGCATCGACAAGGGATGCTGAAATATTCAAATATGTAAACATCGAACACTTTCGAATATTAAAATAAAACAAGTATTAAAACGAAACAGGAATCGCGCTGTTGAATGCTAAAAGAGTTAACAACTTGATTTAAACGAAAATTGCAGATACATTTTTCTCACTTAACACGACAGTATAAGTTAACACTAGAACTATCAAACTGGTCGAAACGATCAATTCATAACTTCCCATAGAAATTTTATAAATTTATAACAGTGTACTTTCAGCGACTTGACTAACTTTTTGCAAAGTATATCGATAGAATATTCGTGCTCTTTCTTATATTACAAATGTAGTTTCTTATTCCTTCTAACGTCTTAATTTCTCTGTTGCAAATTTTACACTTTCTAGGTAGTTCTAGTGTTAAGACTGTTAAGTATTATAAGACGAGTCGTTTCTCGCGTGTCTTTTATTAACATCAAGGGAAAGACGCAAAACGTTGCAATAGTATCGATCGTACGCGAAATATCTCTTCTATTGAGAGCTTTCGCCATGATGCGAGATATCTCGTCAGTAACATCGCAAGATAACTCGTAGGACAATTGTAGAAGCGAGTTATCTCACGTCTCGGTGACATTGCACGATCGAACATAGCTGTAACGAGACATCTCATTCGCCGTAGCGAGAGGGTTAATTAAACACTTGCGCAGCAACTGACTGCGGACCATAACGAGTGACCAAAACCGTATACAATAATTCGTCGCTCTTTCTTCTTGAACTCGTCGGTATGATATCACACTGGAATGGAAATTATCGAGAAGTAATAAATTTATTATTTGTTCTGCCTGGGTTATACTTAAATATACTTAAAACTGAGGAAATATTGCAATTTTGGGACAAAAAGTTCTCGACGTGGCTCACACTTAACCTCTTGCGCTGGAATAACATGCCACGCACGTCGAGAACTTTTTGTCCCATAATTGCAATATTTTTCTCAGTTTTAAGGGGGCAGGACAGTGTGACGAGCCTAAAAATTACGTATACTTTGGAGGGCTAGTGAAAAAACATGTTTAACACGAGCTTTTGTGGTTATTTTAACACATTATTTTAACACATTATGAACTATAAAAAGCAACATTAAAAAAGAAAAAAAAAGGGCTCTTATTTAACTTTTTAACGGCATTCTTTTACGTAACATTTTTTTGCAGTTGCAACAAAAAGGCAGAAAAAGTTCAAAAGTAAACAATATTCTCTGGGGATTGACGATCCAACATTTTCATTTTTGTGAAAATTATGAAAATAGCAGCTATTTGTTTTTGATGTATCGAATTTATGCCAAAAATTTCTACGTTTTCTGTTTGTATTTTTCGAAATTGTTAAAATTGTTAAAAATTAAAAAATGTTCGACCGTCAATCCCTAAAGATACGTACCAAGTTTCACAGTAATCGGTTGATTAGATTCCGAGATATCTTGCATACCGTTTCTAAAAACCTAGTTTCGAGAAAAATGCGTTTAAAGTTTCAGGACATCATTTTTCATATGTATCCTTTACTTACTTTTTTTACTTGTATATCGCGGCTCACAGTTCTTACAATTCACAACTGAAAATTGAATCCAAGACCACTAATATTCGATTCACCAAAAGTAATATTTGAATCACACGATTTACACTTTATAATACTTATAAAGCTTAAAGCTGTAAACAGTGATAGAAATTCAATTATTGTTGTATCCGTGGCGGATTTACTATTATAGCCCAAGGCAAGTTGTTTTAAAGGCAAGGACCTTTTGTTTTCTTACTTCTACGACTTCAAACTACTATTTAAAACAAACAAAAAAATCGATTTCTTGAAAATTTCACACTGTCCTGACTCCTTAACTATATTTAAGTATAATTCAGGTAAAACAAATAATAAATTTATTTACTTCTCAATCATTTCTATCCACTGATATCGTACCGACGAATTCAAAAAGAAAGCGTCGAATTATTGTTCCGGTCACTCGTTATGGTCCGCAATCACTTGCCAGCGCAACGTGGTTAAATATTCCATTCGCCGTGCGTGTTGTAAAAATCGATTTACTGCCGACAGGTGGAAGTAAGGAGATCTTGCGGAAACAGGGTAATCGACGACGGGGAACAATGCGACTGCGGATCGATCGAGGAGTGCCACAATCTCGATCCTTGCTGCGATCCCATCACCTGCAGACTCACCTCGGAAGCGCAATGCGCGTCCGGCCCTTGCTGCAGCGATTGCAAGGTAAAACACACTCGACAACAGACTGTATGATGAAATTAACTTCTCCACCACCTGAACTCGCTGCTTCGAAAAAGAGGCACGTGAAAGAAGCCTGGCTAATCTCAGCGACACCTTGGCATAATTCATCCATTTGGCCTTTATTCACTGACACAGTTTCTTTTTACCTATTACTTCATTATATTTTTGTGTACTATATATATTTAATTCTGTCAACTCTAATTTTGTATATTATATTTATTCTGTTTATCTTCTGTCTTATCTGATATTTCTGTCTTCATTATTTTCATTCGTTATTTCAACTATTATATTTGTTCTATATTTATTCAATATATAATATATATTATAGCTAGAACTGAGTATATATTACAGTAAATATTATCTTCGTTTACTTTATTATCGTTGTGATTATCATATATGTATTTGTATCTTCATTTTATTTTTCTCTTATTATAACACTGTCTTTGATCTTGTTCTCTTATTCAATTCGTTTCCTTGTTTTATATATTGTTTTAGTTTGCATCATGATACTAACTTTTGTTGCGTCTTCTCTTTTTGTATAAAAAGGGATTTTCCCTGCTTACTTAAATAAATTTAGAAATATTTTTGCTCGAAACTACTGACAACATTAAACCTGGCTGCGTTCTCTCGGTCATTTTCTCTAAAATTAAAAGATATTTGACAAGTTTTTAGTTTAGCGACTTTTCCCTTGAAATCTTGGCTTTCAATGTTCTGTGTTTTTTAGTAAAACGTAAAGTAAAAAGAAATGGAAAAGAGAAAGAGTAAAAATAAAAGAAAGAGAGAGAGAGAGAGAGAGAGAGCGTAGCGAAATAGCGAAAATTGAAAAACGCCACTAAACTAGAAATTTATCAAATGTCTCGAGTTTTTTTGATTATTTCAGTTTGTATTAAAGATTGAGTTAACGAATACTATACTTATTGGTTAACATCGAATGTCGAATATGAGAACCGATAACAAGGAATTTGAATTTTACTACTGAGAAATATAATATTATAATATAGCTAATAATGTCGAAAAATGTTGAAAATATTTTTGATATTTTCATTAATTCTGATATTTCATTTAATTATTATCACTTAATTTTTTTCATTTGAAGACTTCTTTTAAAGCAATTTATTTACGAAGTAGTGAATAAATGATTTCAATTTTAGGTAGTTATTGTGAAAGTGGGCTTTTTCTCTGATTTCAATGAGCTTAAAATATATTATTAGGGGCATATGATTTAGAGTAATTTTTCTTTGTACATGTTTCATCGCTCTTGGATATTCGTAGAAATATTATTGTTATATTATTAAAACATTATTAACATTTTTAATAATTATAAAAATGGATAAAATATTTAATAATTATTAAAATAGATATTAAATATCTCAATAATATAAAATATTACGTATTTTAATATGCAATTAACCCCTTGAGTTATAATATCGAGCTAAAAAGAAAAGTAAATTGTAATCTTGTAGAATATGAATTGTGTAATTTAAATTTTTTTTTTTTTCTTCAAACCGAAGATTAATTAATATAATGCTTTTGTTTTCAGTACTTGACATCTGACGCGATGTAACATGTTATATTAACTAATGTTAGAAAAAAATCGTAAGGCAAGAAATTAATAATATTAAAATATTATTAAAAATTTTATTAAAATATCATGTATTTTAATACTATGTAGTTTTGAAAGATTTGGATTAAAGTTGAAGTATTTCAATCTGCCAAAAAAAAAAAAAAAAAAATAAAAGAATTTATAATAACCAAATTTGAGCATTCATCCGAGTCATATAAATCTCTAAAAAAAAAAAAAAACAAATGATTCTTAATTAAAGAAAATTGTCAGTGAAACTCAAAAAATAAAGAAAGAAAGAAAGAAACTACAACCCAAACGATAAACTATAGCCAAGAGATAAAATCTAATTTAAAAAGTATCGAAACTATTTTTGCGAATATTTTTCCGCAACTACTGTTTCGATAGTAACGTGTGTAATTACCTAGACAGAATATTTACCTAGACAACATATTTCAAGTACGTTAAAATCGGCGAGGAAGCCCACTCTCGCAATTATCCAATTACCCAATTTTATACGAAATTCCATAAAATGTCTCAGGTGTTCGTGATTTTTAATAAATTATGTAATCTACGAAAACTAATAAGCTGTGACAATAATTATATTAATGCATTCTAATGATGGCTCTATTTAAAATTGTAAATCCAAATAATATATATCAGAAGAAAAGTTAATACGCCCAAGGAATTAATGCAAAAGATTTCAAATCAAGATAAAATCAATCTACAGTAAATTTAATTTTTTATTTATGACGACACTTTGAAATTATAGATAATTATCTATATAATAATATTTAATTATCTATATAATAAATATCTATTATATATATATATATATATATATATATATATATATATGATAATTAACTACATAATAAATATCTATTATATCTATCTATCTATCTATCTATATATATATAAATCTATGTGATAATTAACTATATAATAAATTAATTATCTATATAATAATATCTCGTATATTATCTATAATAAATATCTATTTTATATATATATATATATATATATATAAATCTATATGATAATTAACTAATAATAAATTAATTATCTATATAATAATATCTCGTATATTATCTATATAATAAATATCTATTATATCTATTACGTCTATAATCATCTATATAATAACATCTTGAACATTCAAAATAAACACTATCCGAAGACTTTCGAATGGGGATGTATTTTACTGGTCTGAGCCACTCTCTTTCTCTATCTCACTTTGGCTGGAGATATACGTGACAGATAGCGACGAGTACAATAAACTCGTCGATAAATGGAAGCAGGCAGTCTAGTGTCATAGCGCACGGTACATACATCGAGTTGTAGCAAGTAGAATAAATAGATAACCAGATTAGATTTCTCTCGCTCTATCGTGACATCATTTTCAATGTCGATCTAATCTCGAGGGATTGTGAAAACGTAGCTACTGGCGCGTGGCGTCGTTTGCCGGGAGTCGACCAACGAATGCGATTTACCGGAAGTCTGTACCGGTGAGACCGGTCAATGCCCACAAGATGTCTACAAGAAGAACGGCAATCCCTGCTCGAACAACTCCGGATACTGTTACAACGGCGTTTGCCCGGCGTTGGATCTTCAGTGCGAGCAGATCTGGGGATACGGCGGCACTGCCGCTGATGAACAGTGTTTCGAGCAATTCAACTCCAAGGGCTCGCTCAGCGGACACTGTGGTACCGACACTTCCGGTCACTACATCAAGTGTGAGCTAGAGTAAGTTTGTCTTAATTTTAATATAAACTTTTTATTTAAATTTTTTAATTTATTAACATTTAACTTATTGTATTAGTAATAAAATATGAATTTAAACTAAATAAAATTATCATTATAAAATAAATAAACATAAGAAGAAAATTACCAATCAATTAATTGGTTTAGGTTAGGTTTAAGTTTTATTTTTTTATTATTATTGTTGTTGTATTATTATAATGGATTATTATTAAAATAAATAAACGTGATAAAAAAATTATTAATCAATTAATTGGTATTATGTGTGGAATAGAAAATTAATTTACTTGATTTATTTTAAAATGACATTTCAATGTTATATATTAACTAAATTTTCATAAATTAAAAGTTAACCATCATTGTTGTTAATTCAATTAATAAAATTTGAATAATTTGTTCTTCGTCTTCGAAACCCTTTGTTTCAAATCGTATAAATCACCAGAAGCAAGTAATTCATTGAATTAAAATAAACAAAAAAATAATCAACTGAAATCAATTAATCTTGACAAGCTGAAGTTTATGAAATAGAATTGGAAATTATTTGTTGAAACGGACACGAAATCAAAAATGTGAAACGAAATAAGAAGTTATTTTATGACCAAATGATGAAATAGTTTCGAGAAAAATCATTTGTTCGAATGAACTAACGTTATTAACGAGTATTAAATCAAATAAGATAACGTTTGAATAATTATTTTTCAGGTAGTTTGTTCAAATAATTTCGGTTTTTCTTCGCTTCTTACTACATTAAATGCGTTAAATTTAGAGAAGATTATATTGATACAGAGACAAATACTTAAATACAAAAATATTATTAATATATGATAACTAAGCTATAAATCTTGAGATACGTAATTGAATAATTACAAATATTTACATTCATTGTATATGTATTAACGTAATTGTACTGATAATAATTAGTGCAATTGCATAATATATTAATTATACTAGTAGTAATATATAATTATACTAATTCTTATTATATAATTTTATTACTATAAATATAGTATAATTATATTATATAATAAATTATATTATATAATATATTATACTACTAAATTATATTATATAATTATATTATACTACTAATAATAATATATAATAAATAATAATAACTATGATAACACTAAACTAATAATACTATAATAATAATTACCAATTATCATAATAACAATTAATGTAATTATTTGTAAAATAACAAGATTCCAATGTGAGACAAAACGTTAAACTGAACATTTCGCTGTGGATCGATTTAAAATTAACGACCATCCTGCATTTGAAAGTTAAGTCCTTGCCCTATTTAATTCCTTTCGCTTTCATCTCGTAGGAACGTCCGTTGTGGATCACTGCAGTGTCAGCAGGGTAGCAAGCAGCCAATGATAATCGGAATAGATCACTCGAGAACCATAATCTCGACAAAAGGCAAGGAGTACGAGTGCAAGTAAGTAATGTAAACTAGCGCATTTTCAACCATCATGAAGAATTACAGATTCCATGTTTCTTTTTTTTTTTTTTTTTCTTTTTTTTTCTATACGTAACTAAACTAGAAATTTCGTGTTTTAATTAGTCTACTTTTTAACACACGGATATATGTGTATCAAATATGCCGTATTAACATAATCAAGTTTCATTTTGTGATCATTAAAATTAACAGGAATGTTATATACGATATTTATCTCCTGCTGGCAGAAAATATCAATTTAAAATTATTAATTTAGGAGGACTTTATGTTATTTACGAGGACAATGTAGACACAAGAATTTCTCTTTACATACCTTATCTTCCATAGATATATAAATAATAGAAATACATTCCCCAGATTAATAATTTTTCAAAATATATAAATTAAAAAAATGTCGAAAGATATGTAATTACATTTTTTTCAAAAACTTTACCTGCTACGAGAATATTAATACTACTATCTTATAACACAACCTCGTCTATACTGAACAACTTTTGTTAATAAAGTTTTCTTCCATCTCCGGGATATTTAAATGCTAATTTTTATCGGACCTCGGAAACACGAACTTACGTGAAAAAAAAAAAAAGATCCGCCTATTTATCGTAGACATCGTGTTTATGCGTTTTGAGACACCCTCGAAACCATGACCACTGCCAAGAACTTTAAATAACGTTCGCATGAATTATTCACAAGGTCCACGACCGGGAAAGTGGAGGGATCCGAGATGCCTGGCATGGGGTTGGTTCGCGACGGGACATCCTGCGGTGACAACTTGGTAAGATGCAACTTTCTAATCCCTGTGAATGTCACAGGCAAATTTTCGCTTTTCACTGCGCCGCGACGTTCAACACCTTCCCCCCTCCCCCGGTAATTATCTTTGTCATAAATCGGATTATGCAAATTCCCAAGCTACCGTATGAAGTGAGGCGAGATGTTATCGCGAGCAAACAAACGCTGTTTGCTTTCAATCTATACGTTGACTTTAGCAAAACGGTGAAGGGACGCGAGGGGGAGAAAGAGAGAGAGAGAGAGAGAGGGAGGGAGGGAGAGAGGGTTGTGTGCACAATATAGGGGAAGAAAGCTCGTAAACTGGCGCGTGTAACACTCGTTTGATCGCTGTGTTGTAGATTTGCGTGAACCAAACGTGCATGAGCCTCTACCCGCTGATAGGCAACGAGAAGTGTCCCAGCAATCACAATAACAACGAATGCTCGGGAAACGGCGTAAGTAAAATTTATCGAGCTAAACGATACTGCTTGATTGTCACCGTGCCGGCTCTTCTGATCGTTCCTCGCGGAACTTCAATCTCATCATTTTTTGCGTGTCCGAAGCTAACGTCGGGACTATCGGCGACTAAAAATATAAAAATCGCATCAGAGAAATTGGAGCGCGAGGAGTAGGGAAAGGTTGATAAATGTGTACATACGAACTTTCATTCGTGTATCTTGTAAGAAAGACACTCAAATCCCGAAAAGTGCGACCACTCTAGAAAATTATAAACGTGGTTATTTTGATCGCTTTGGTGGTTCTAGTGCTTTTACGTGAAAACAAATGTTTATCGTCGTCGTGCGACAGAGAGTCCTCGTGATTGAACATGAAAATTCGGAATTTAATCGTCTTAATGTTGTAAAAAAAAAATGAGAAGAAAGAAGGGAAGGATTTGAATACGATCAAAGTCGATGGAAGTCGGAAATAATTTTCTGGAATATCCAACTATAGAACTATATAAAAACCCGACGCAATCTGACATTAAAAACAAGTGCTGGACTTTCGTACAAAATATTCATTTCTGTAGATGTTTGATCGTTTTCCATTTTCTCTTAACTTGTGTTTACAGAGAATTGGAAAATCTTTGTAATAGAATGGTGACTGTTGTATCATTTTAATTACAACGACATTGGAATTCAAACGGAGCATAAATTTTTGTTTTCTCGAGCTCATCGTCGGGCTCGTACTTACTTGCATATCTGATCGAATGAATCGGCCATCTAAAAATGAAATTCATTGATCGTAGGTATGCACGAACATGAACAAGTGCTACTGCAACCTTGGATGGAGTGGACCGGATTGTTCCATACAGCAGGAAATTCCAACTTTGCCGCCGACAACGTCTAGCACTGAATCAGCTGGTAAAAATAGTTCAGATCCTAAATTAGTGAAGAAAGAGACCCCCTACGGTAAGTTGCGATTCGTAAAGGAACTCGAACTAGAAATATCGTCGTGTGATCCAACGAGACGAGAAATCGGCGCGACATCAGTTTCTCGAAATCAATTTACTCGCGCTGTGTAGATCCACGTCGGTTTCTCGTGACTCGTACGCGATCATTTCTACATTAGCTTGTAATCTAACGATAAACAGGCAACGACAGATAACGTAGAGAACTAAGGACACGCGCTGTGTGATTACTGGCCATTGTAGATTTTTCCTCCGCACCGAGTGGTAAATTAGCAATTTTTGTGAAATGAAATAAAAGTTCCATAGATGAAGCTTGATCACTTGGGTAGCGAGTTTTTATGCATTTATAGAGAATTTGAGAATGTGAAATGTACGTTTCTGCGTATAGATTTTATGAAAAAGGTGTGATTCAGTAGTATATTCGTTTTTAGTTATGTCTTTTCTCAATTCCAATTCTCAAGGAAAGATGGTTTGTTAAAATATACGTAGAAAGTGGAATACTTGATACAATATTTGGTATCTGAAATAAATCTCTCTCCAAATTGTATTCGTAAAAAAGTACGAAATTGTTCCGCATTTTATACATTGACGAAAGAAGTTGCAAATATTCCTAGAAAATAAAATATCGGTAGAAAATTGTTTCGCATATTAAATAGTATTGAAGGTATTATGCTTTGGATATTTTATATACACAGTGACGACCAGAAAAGAAAGTTGAAGGAATGAAATGGCAAGGAACGCTGTAATTTTATAAAATTGAATTATAATTGATAAAAAAGTAGACGAATGTTGAAGAACGTTCAAAAAAAAATTCAATTTGAAACTCTCTCTTGTCCTTTATTGTATTTCTTCAAATTATATACAGGATTATTAATGTGTGTCCTGATATTAAAACAAATTATACAATAAAACTTGTAAAAATAAAAAGAAGTATCCTAATGAACTTCATTATAACAAAGTATTTCTTTTTTATAATGAAGTTTTTATAAATATACTTTAGTTAAATTTACTTTAAGAATAAAAAGAAGTACTCTTATGAAAAAGTATTTCATTTAAAAAGAAGTATTTATTCTTTCTATTTTTACAAGTCTATATCACACAAAAGAATTATTGTTAAGAATTTTTCTTTAACAAAATTCATGATAATACTACTTTTCATTTTTAATCTTATGAGATTCTTTTTCAATGAAAAGAAAGAAGTTTATAAAAATACTTCATTAGTCTTTTTAATGAAAAAGAAGAAGCACCTCATTTAGTAAAGTTCATAGAAATAAATACTTCTTCCTATTTGTGCAAGTTCTTTTGCATAATTTATTTTGACATTGAAGCACACTAAATATAGACAGTCACTTTATTTTATACAATTGTGAGATGAGTGACGAGTTTTCTATAAATGCATAAAAATCCACAGTCACATTGACGACGAAGACCTCGATGGAGGAATTCTATGATAGCCAGTAATCTCGAAGAAAGAGGCAGACATTCTCCAATCGACTAGATGTGTTTAATTCACGATAAGACGAAGACTCGTTCCTTATCCCGACGGAATACCAGTTAATCGCCTGACTATTTGGGGCCATACCATCAGCTGTGCACATACAATTCGATGCGTCCATGTATATATATATATATATATATGTATATATATATGTGTATATATGTATATATATATATATATATATATATATATATATATATATGCATTTATATATACATAGTATACGGGCCGATAAGCTAACTCGATTACACTTTTCCACTTTTCGATTCACCAACTCATTTCGAAACTTCTTTCTTCCTCTGTCCCTCTCTCCCTTGAGAAAGAGAGAGGGAGAGAAAGAATAATCACAGGTTACAGGCAAAACGCTTCGCAGACGACTTTAATTACGCTTTCACAACGATCCTCTTACCGGACGAGCCTGATATTTTACGATGGTACGGATTACGTGGAAAGTTAATTTTCGATGGTTCTTGAGTCGAACACGAGGGAAATTCAATTTGTCATGCTGGAGATTTGAACGCACTTCGTTAACAGGATAAATGTATCAGTAGTTGACATTACAGATCTTATTGTCGAATATTATAACAATAAAACATATATAACACAACAATAAAATATATATTGTATAATATTATAGTACTGATTCCAGACGTTATAACAACATTAGAATATCATATAATATTATACACATACAATATATAATATTACAGTAACATTGTATACAATATACAATGTCATAATGCTCATTTCCAGACATTACAACAACATTAGAATACATAATATTATAATATTTGTTTCTGGATGTTACAACAATATTACAGTATCATACAATATTACACACAATATATACAGTATTATATAGTATTATAATACTCATTTCCAGACATTATATACTAGAATATTATACAATACCTATTTCCAGACGTTATGACAATATTTTAAGACATTACAATAATTTTACAATATTACATAATATTGTTATAATATCTGGAAATAATATTAGAATATTATATAACATTATAATACTTATTTCCAAACATTATATCGGTATTAGAATATTAGAGTATAATATTGTAATACTCATATCCAGATATTACAACAGTATTACCATATTATATGATAATTATTATATTAATAATCATTTTCAGACATTAAAACAATATTACAATATCATATAATATTAGATATTATACAATGAATAGTATTACAATATTATATAATATTATAATACTCATTTCCATATATTACAACAATATTACAATATTATATAATATTATACTACAATATTATATTATATACATGTATCCCAATTAAATTCTTAAAAACATGTTTTGATAGTTAACATATATTGATAATAACACGGTTTATAATTAGCTAGATACTGAACTATATATTGTTGTTATTAACAGTATACTTTTACCATTATACATATATTATACATATATATTTTTATATCTGTTAAATTATCCAATGTAATAAGATGTGAAGGTTTGGAAATTATTTTGGAAATGTTGATGTTGATCGTAATGGTCATCATAAATAACAAATATAGTTTTCCGTTAGTTGACATTAATATCAATTATCAATGCAAATCTATATTTATATATGTACCAGCGTTTGACAAATCTCAAATATCAGTAATTCATAGCTTACAATGATCAAATATTAATAAATATATTCTTTCTATAATGTATAGTAATTGGCATTTTAGAATAAAAAAGAAAATATATTTTTGTCTGAACTAGCTTGTCTCCTTAAAAAATTTTTTTAAAGAAATTAATGATTTCTAATTTAAATAACTAATCAATAACTTTCTTTGAACTTAATAATTAATGAAATATTTCACTTGTAATTCTCTCCAATTTATTTTTTAATATTAAGATTACCAATTGATATGATAATGAACATCATTGTACCTTCCACCTAGATTTTATTATTTTATGAAATTTTAAAAAATTTAAATATTTATAATATTATTGTTTGATCTTCAATGGATTAAGAAAGAAAACGAATTATCAGAGTAACAGAGAAACAATAAATAAAAGTAACTATTCCATCATCGATTGCTAAATGACTTGTAACAAAAATGGTTATAAATCTTCACATTAGAACATCACGTTTCAAACAGCGTATTTTTTTTTTGTAAATTAAGAAAAGTGTCAACTACTAATGCAATTATCCTAACACGTATGTACGCATCATTTCATTGTTTCTTATTCGAGTAAATTGTCGAATTATTCCATGTGAAATTGTCGATATTTTAAATTTGTATAACTTTGTGAAAAAAGATTGTATAACAAATTTTAAGGACTCGTTGTGAGGGGAAGATTTCAATCTTCAAGACCGTGATAGATTTAATTATGAAAAAAATTGTTCAGTGTCCATAAAAATATTTGAGTTTGCGAAATTTGCAGGAAGAGAGTACGTTACCTACTCTTTTTGAGATGATATAAAAGTATCTTTGAAAAGACCGTGAAAGTACAACATACTTTAAAATGAACTCAAATGGATTGTTTTACGATTTTTATTGTAAAGAAATTATAGTATTTTCATAGTCGATAAAAAATTATCGACATTTTAAACTGCTATAACTTCGTGAGAAAAAAATCACACAATAATCTACCTGAATTCATCTTAAAGCACAAGATCTCTACTTTTAAAAGTATTTTTCGAGAGGATAAATAAATAAAGATACCTTCTCCTTCAAAAATTTTGCAAATTTAAACATCTTTATGAAAATGTAAGCAACTATTTTCACAACTAAACCCATAGTCTCGAAGATCGAAGGATCCCTGTGAAAATTTGTTGCGCGATTTCTACTCGCAAAGTTACAAGAGTTCAATGTATCGACAATTTTCCATCGAGTGTACGCACACTTTTTACACAGATCGATATCGAACCCGTTCAAATTACATGAAACAAAAAAACAAAAAAAAAAAAAAAAAGAAAAGAAGCTGCGTAATCTCGCAATTAATTACGCGTGCGTTCCAGTGTTTCGTCCCTTCGTAGCCTTATTAATCTCATCAGGGATACTCGCAGAACCAATGAAACAAGCAACTTGCTTTCGTAAAAGATAAACGAGTATCGTCGTTTGAGATCCAACGCGCGATCTATAACACCACGTTCTGACAACCGTGGATTACAAAATGTGATGGTCATTTCAGACTCAAAGAACAGCACTCTTAGCACCGGAACGATGGTATTAATCCTGGTGGGTGTGGTCAAAGGAGTCTTCATTTGTTTTGCACTAATGGCTGTTTGCTACAGGTACAGTAGCAAGATAAAAGTTCTTGAGTGGGTTCGATCTGCCCGCCTGTCATTGTCAAGTACATAATTCGTGGCTAGCTGGATGATGAGGCATCGCACGCGGCCATCAATTGCTCTCATGATATTAATTCATCTTAGCCTACTTATTCGATGTTTATTTACATATATATACATATATAGATATTCCAAATTACTTATATATATATATATATATATATATATATATATATATATATATATAGTATATACACCAGTGAACGATATTGTGAGACACTTTACGTATTCTGTAATTCTCGTATATTTGAAAGAAGAAAATATTTATAGGGTGAACACACAGAATTTTATTGTAGAAATCTTTTTATGCAACAGAGAAGATAGAAGAGAGATAGAAAAGAAAACTGGTCAGCTGACAACTGGTCTATCTTCCGTTCTTACGATTTTTGTCGCTAGTTGTTCAAATTTATATTTCTGAGACTACAATAATAATAAAAAAATAAATAAAATAAAATTGTTTTACACATCAAATACTATAAGAAGCACTGTAAACTTCGTACTTTAAAATTTTAGATGCACGAAAATTCGCTAAATTGCATGAATTCATTTTAACTGAAAGGGGAAATTTATCTAAACAGGGAACTAATGCTAACAAAATTGCGAAATTATGAAGCACAATTCATCCGTACAAGCCACATACGACACACTGAACAGTCCACAAAATAACAGAAAACAGAAAATAGAAAAATACTACATGGAAAGTGCCAAAAAGTCCAAAAATCTATAAAAAAACAAAACAAAAGAAAAATTTCATCTGATTTCAAAAATTCTGCGTATTCAGAACTCTGCAGAACTGTGCGTGCCCCCTTCTTTTAAATATGCAAAATTCACGACTATGTAAACTGTTTCGTAATCTCGTCCGCCAGTGTATATTATGTATGTGTGTGTGTGTGTGTGTACTACTACCGTTTCTTCGATGGTATGCTCTGAATGTGCTCGTGCTCGCATAGCGCGTATGAATGATCACGACGATCGTGACTATGCTGCACGAGCGAGGGATCTACATTTCCACTTGGTATCGCATACCAAGGGACGAAGCTCTTTATACAACCGTGCGTACGAGGGTTGCGTCTATCCGGTGAAAAAAAAATGATCGGACGCATGAACGCACGTCGCGCAATTCGTCCCTTCGAGTGCAATACTCGATACACGATCCACGACAACGCCAATGTGCCAGCTGCTTGTATGCCCTATAAAAGCATGAATAAGGCTGATTAGCGATGAAAATGAACGTCGTCCCCTCGAACAGTCCGAGGAAAATCAAATGGTTTACGACAGAGTCTGTTAATTCTGGCGTGTGTACACTGCCGTTGAAAAATTTAGAGCACGTTAAGATTTGAAGGGAAATCTTGCAATGAAACATATTTTATTTTGGTAGGTTAGGTTGATTGTCACGATGGAATAATTAAAGTAAGATATAAGATAGAACGAGTGGATAGAAAGAAAGATTAAATTGCCAAGTGACATTAGGTGATGCATAGTTTTAGGAAATTTTATTTTGATGAACAGTAACGGATAGATGTAATATATTATATCGCAGTGTAATATATAACGTCGTAATTTGATATATAAATATAATATTAAAATAAAATGAACAGATACAATGTACACACCGTAGTATAATATAATACTTAATAAACATAATGTACAACACAATATAATATTATATTGCAATATAACATTATAATATAATATGATACAGATATTAACATTAATGAAAAAATATATCTAGTATACTTTATAGGCTAATCTTATTGGCAAATACCAAGTTTAAACTTTCTTTTGTCCACCACTGTAGATATCATCATCAAAAACTGACTACATAGATGTGTGCTTTCGTTATACTTTGTTATACTTCGTCCTTTAGGCAAAACGTATCTACGTATGTATATAAATTCCTCGGGGCAATCAACGTGTTAATTAACCCACTGAGGACCAACATTTCATTTGCAGTTCTTTTCCTTCATTTTCATGCCGTCAAATCCCACCTTTTTAATTTTGAAGTTACGAAAGGAGATTCGTTTTGATGTCTTTGTTATGTTTTCACCTAGATTCGTTAATTTCGGGAAATTTAAAGAAATTTGAAGTTTACATTTATATAATTATATATAGTTGTATAATTATAAACTGAATATAAATTATAATATAATATATAAGTATATATTATTATATGATTGAAGTATGCAATGAAATATTATGATAAATTATCACTTGGTCCTTAATGGATGAATTGGATTTGAATTGTAATATTTAAACATAAAAGTTATAATTACAGAAAGTAATGGCTGCTCCAAACTTTCGACCGGTAGTGTAACAACCAGACGACAGTTCGATCGCGATATCGTGTCTTCGTCGATGTCAATCGAAAAAGTAGTTGGCAAAGGATCTTTCGACTCGAACGCAGGACGCGAGTAAAACGGCCTACAACTGGACTACGAATGTTAATGCATTTTCAAAATGCATAAAATTATTTTCGTACATAGAGAGAACTACATAAAGTATCCAAAGTAGAGGTCTTAATTTTAACATTTAGTAAATTTCAACAAATCTCCATCCGGAATCTATTTCTTTTATCTTACGTTCGTAAGAATTGCATAAACATCCGCAGCCTAACAACAACGTAACGTCAATGTTTCTTAACCTTCTTTAAACAATTTTCATTCACCCTGAAGACGTGCTTTCTCTCGAATGATATACTTTGAAAAATACTTAGATAATTGGACAATACGCTATCTTATCTACCTAGACATTTGACTAAGATACTATTAGCCAAGATAGTTGGGTGAAATAAAATAAATTGCAAGCCTGCTTCCTCTCTCGGTGGCCGAGAGCCACAGGCTAAGAAACACTGACCAAATCTAGAGATAGCGGATTTCACGCAGAGCTGTCGTTCGACCAAGACCAGGCGAGTCGAAAGTATCCAAATCCAAGGTGATGATCGCGCGTGTGGCGCCGATTCAATTGCGATCCAAATGGTTATCAATGGTGACTCGCCGCGTACGATTTGGCGCCCGTACGACGAACCAATACGTCCATGTATATGTATATGTGCTGATTCTGGCTTCTCTGTTTCTTGTCTGTTTCTGTCTGTCACTGCCATCTCTGTCTGTCTGCATGCTGTGGGACGCTCGGATACCGAAATATATCATCTGTAATAACCGCGCGCCTGCCTGAACAACGGTATACTCGATCTCGATGCCGATGTCTTGATACATCGGCGGTCTCGTTTTGACACGTGACGACCCCCCAACGGCCAATGCAATTCTAACGATGTGTAACTAACTGACTAACACGTGAATCTGATCGTCACAGAGAACTACCACGGCTCTAACACTGTATTTTTAGTTGGTGTGCTCATGTCGGTGGTAGGGGGTGTTTTCATAGTATTTGCTCTGATGGCTCTCTGCTACAGGTCAGTCGTAGTACATAAAAACTACTCCCTCTGTCTCAGGTTAGTGTGCAGAAACATACACGTAGAAATTCTTTTGTATGCGTATATATATATGTATATATATGCACATATATATGTATGTCTTCCTTCTGACCATTTCTTTTTTTTTTTTTTTTTTTTTTTTTTTTTTTTTTTTTTTTTTTTTTTTTTTTTAATTTTTTTTAATTTTTTTTTCCATTTCTTTCTTACGATCCACACGTGTCGTACATATATATTTACATGTATATCTTTTAGAGTCCGTACTTATTACTGTCTTTCTCTTTTACTATACAATGCTTAATCTATTCTTTCTCTCTGTAACACCTTCTGTCTCTCCCCACCTCCCCCCAGCCTTCTCTCTCACTCTCTCTTTCTATCTATTTTTCTCCTTCTTATCGATGTATCTTTTTTTATGGTACCGATCAGGCGCTCTGCATAATCCGTAATAAACTGCAATAAGTATCGCGATGGTATCGAACGTGTTCGATACGCCAGGCTTGTGCGAATCGCGCGGGCAAATTACACTTCGTCGCAACGAACAGATGATAACATTTTAAACAAGCAAATACAAGCAAATTGTTTGGAAGAGATCTTTACGTGGATTTTTACCTGGTGTCGCACAGTGGACGACGTTCTTCTCAAAAATGGAGCGAAAGTGAAGAAAAAAAAAAAAAAAGAAAACAGAAAGAAATTTGCAAATTGAAAATTTTCTGATAACCTGACACGTATACGTCGAATTATCTCGAAATCTGCAATTTCGTGTTCTACGATAGTATCGATAATAGTAACGAAAAAATAATAGTAATCTGTACAAAAGATTTCGGTAGTAATACGAAAAATTTTGCAATCGATAAATTGTAAAATAAAATAATTCTTTCATTATTATAATCATACTGAAGCTGTATATTTAATTTCTCAAATGATTTAGCGGAGAAATGAGAATAATGATTAAAACTTTCCATCGTGAATAGGATTGTGCACGAGAAGCATTTTATTAGTTACAAGTGAGAGATACCTACAAGTCAAATTATTGTTCAAAAATTTTCAACTTGCAGATTCGTTATTTTTTTCATTTTTATCTTGTTTTTGAGAAAAATCGACTAACGGATTGTCGTCTTATTTCGAGGATCGAAAACGCGCCCATCGCATACTACGCGTACGTAACTGATCGTTGCTACGACTATGCTAAGCAGCTTAAGCGATTGTCGGCGAATTCGCGTTTGCTGCCAACCACTTAGGTTCATTTTCAATCGCTTTTGCAAAATTGGCTACTTCACGTATATTATTTACTCGTCTGCAAGTCTGCAAGTAACTAATGGCTTCTGTGTTTCGTGACCATTAACTGATATCCTTGACGAACAGCAACGATCAACTTCGATCGTATCGATCGGTAGAAGGGAAGGTTGAACTTTATTTTGAGATGTCAAGAAATATTTTTTTATCGTCTGGTAAGTTTTTACAAAAATTTAAGAATTTTTTGCTTTTTCCTCGAAAGTTATGCTTAATGAAACCGAGTTTCTAGTAGTTTGACGCCATAGATTGGCTTTCGATTTATCAGTTCGAGTGAGAATTTCAGAATCAAAATATTTTTAACGTACATGACCGTACATGATATACAAAATATCTTTTTACATCTCCATCTTACCGAATATTAATAATTAGTAATCAGATCGCGGTGTCAAATTTCCGCGATTCGTGATAAATATCAATATTAAAAATCTGTTTGATATTTTTTTTATAAAACTATCGATATTTGCTTTAATTAATAGAACCTGATTTCTTTCACCAAATATACACACACGGATATTACTTTATGGTGACTTCCTAACTTCGAAACCTGTATTTTAAGATTCGATACCAGATGATGGGGGAGAAAGTGGTCACTGTCATGCCCCCGAGTAAAGTTTAACCGAAATAAATGTAACACGAACAGAAAAACAACGAAAATGATCTGAACGTATTGGTATCGGTTAAAGGTTGCCACCGCGTTACAGCAGGGTGATTGCGATTGATCTAACGAAGCGCTACATCTTTAATCGTTTTTCCCAACAAAGTCTTCAAAGCAAAGCGTCTTCACCCCCATGGAACGCAAACGCGTGTTCGAAAAAATACTTTGTCTGTCTACTTTATCGTTTGATTTTTGAGTATTTGGTTGATGGGTACTGCAGTGGAGGACCATGTCACACGAGTGGCTGTAAGGCCAGCTGCCGGTGTACCATTCGACTGGTTATCTGTTTTTGTTCTAATGCATGCTATATCACCGCTCCTTGTATCGCCCCGTAGACGCGCCAGCTTTGCTAGCCACCATTTCATTGTGATTATTTAAAGTAAAAATAAAAATGCTACGGAGTAAACGTATATATATATATATATATATATATATATATATATATATATATATATATATACGTCGAATTTGTCGAATTTGTCAAATACCCGCTTTAATTTTTTATTGGATCGTTTCACAGATGGTGCGAGTTCATTTCTAAGAGTTGAACTTTGAACAACAAGAGTTGTTGTTATTATTGAACTTTTGGTAAAATTCGAATAGAAAATTTAATAACAACAAGTGAAAAATCGTGGATGAAAGTGATCAATTATTAATAAGTAAATTTTTCTATTTTCATTTGTATGGTAAAAAATTCGAATCGTTTCGAATACGATTCGATACCTTAAAACTGTGGAGAATCTTGAAACTTTCGAAGTTTGGTTGAACTTTTTTTATAAATAGTATTCAACATATTTTACAAGTGATTTTTCTTTTCGAAATTTACAAGAGATTTAGGATATCGAATTATATTTCGAAGCAAGTCAAATTTTCGCAATATTTAATTACTTTGAATCTCCGTCAACGATCGCATTATTTATGGGATGATCTAATATTTATATAATCTAATAATATTACTATTCGCACGCGAATACGAATCTATTAAATATATATATATATACGTTTAAACTCTGTGCATATTATGGTAGAATATTAAGAGCACGCACTTAATCAATTATATCTTCAAAGGGAGTCGACTAATAATTCCTTTTCATTCGAGACATTTGAAAACATTGAACGATCAATGATTAAAAAATCGTGATTTTGAACGTGTAATAAGCAAGATCTGTAAACGTGATACACAAACTGTGTATTAAAGAATTAAGGATCCATGACCTTATACAGTGAGAATTTTTTTTTTTTTTTTTTTGCCAAAGTTATCCAGTATATTCTAAGTAACCAAAAGTTATCAGTATATTTTAAGTAACCAAAGGATACTATAATAGTTCTACAATTTCAACTACAATTAAAAAATGTATATCAATTGTTTATCAGTACTGTCTTCTTTATTAGCTATCAAATTAAATTGCAAATTGGTTAGAGTCACGTGCACGAGATACATGCGCGAATATTGAATTCGAATGTGAACGGAATATTTGAGACTCGCGTACAGAAAAAAAAAGGCAGAAACATGGTCCATGAAAAAATCCTTGATGTGACAAACGCGTTGAGAACCAGTCTCTAGAATCACACGATACGATATAAATTAATAAAATAAATGTCTCAAGTATATAGATAAACATAAATCTTTAATTTCTTGGTGTACAATGTGTACAAACAAATATACGTGTACAACGTATTAATCCCCTTGCAACTTGGTTTGCGGACCATAACGAGTGACCGAACCGTACACAATAATTTGTCGATTTCTTTTTTTTAAACTCGCCGGCATGATATCACTGGATAGAAATTATTGAGAAGTAATAAATTTATTATTTATTTTGCCTGGGTTATACTTAAAATATACTTGAAATAAATATACTTAAAACTGAGAGAAATATTGCAATTTTGTTACAAAAAATTCTCGTGCGTCATTCCAGCGCAAAAGAACATGAATCCATAATAATATTTCTTAACACACGTATTGTATATGTACGTGTATTTTAGTATACATTCTAATTTACACACGCGCGAAATCATCATCGTTGATCCTCGATCGCCGTCACTGCGAAAGGAATAAACGGACGAGCAAAGAGAAATTCGTTCGAAGTCTCTCCTCCTGTAGATCTGCATGCGCTTCCTAATCGTTCGTTTGTGGTTTTCCTAATTACGCGAGCCTCGCATCCTCGTAATCGGCGAATTTCTCGCAGAAGGAAGAGCACCGTCCAGAAGTACGACCAACCGTACGTGAAGAAACCGCCGCAGAGGAGTTACATGGTTTCCGGCGTCTCCGGAAACCATCATCCGGGACACGCGGTCCTGGACAACGTCAACAGCAAGATCCTCACCTTTAACAGTATGCCGAATGTCAGGTACGACGATTGTTTCGTTGCCTATCCAGCTAACACAAGCCTAGAGCGCCAGGCTAGAGAGGCACACTATCAACAGGCACACACACATTCGCGTTAGATTCTCTTTCGGGATTCGATCGACTTAGGAACACCCAGATCATCCTCTGATCTTTCGAAAGATGGGATTTACATGATACGACGCGCGGCAGCCCTGTCAACTTTCATCTCGACGTTGCAAACCTGTTTCTCGATTGATCAGTCTCTCATTTGTGCCGCTTAGACGGTGTAACAATCGTAACTGCGGATTTTTGATACAGATATTCTTAATTGTGCTCTGGCAGCATCTTTGGGTCGTAGATGCAATTTACGTTCGATCATTAAGTTTCGTGTGATATTCGTATTTCACATTTCTCGTGACACAGGTTAATAGTGAGATTCGAGTAAATAAAAATTTTTAATTAATTAAAGTAATTTAACTGTAAATTGCTGTGTTTCTCAATGATCCAATGATACCAGCTAAGAGTTGAGGATGTAATTAAAAAGATCGTGGTTTTAAAAGAAAATTGTTTTACGCGCCAAATGGTACAGAAAGGAGTGTAACAGTGGAAATTTTATAGAGGGTGTTCGTTTGAAAGTTGCAATTTTAAATATTTCAAAAACAACTCTCTTTCGCATTTTTCTCAAAAGTGCATTATTTTCAAGATGTTTAAATTTGTAACTTTCAACTAAACCCTTCGTACTTTTTCATATTGCGCTCATTTTGTGCGATTTTGTAAAAATCTGCATTCTGGAAATGACGATAAAGCAGGAGAATGTAAATGAGAAAGTACGAATTTTTATACATTTATGAGAAACTTGAGAACGCAAAAATACACAGAATATTCGTCAGCAATATTTAATAGCAAAAAAAAAAAAACAAATTAGATTGCAATTTTTCAATTATACTCGCGGAAACGTGAAATTCTTTGAATATCCATAGTCCAATTATTAGACTGCAGATTTTTATTGCGTTTTTTCAACTTTTGTAAACACAGCTAAAAAGTAGAGCCTGGAAATGGAAATTTATTTTATCGTAACAAATATTCTACTTTGAAAGTTGCAAAGTGCACACAAAAGTGTGGGCATAAAATATCCAAATAGAAGTAGGATATAATGTTTCCCATAAACACACAAAAATCCTCAGTCTACGAACAATGAAACGAAAGAGTGGCAGGACAAACGAGAGACAGGCTTCCAACAATTCTAAGCTGAACACAAGAGTGAAAGTTTGGAAATCCGTGGCAGTACGAGTTGGAGATACGCTTTTACAAGAGATAATCTAGGGAAGACCCCTGCAACTAGTGTTTAAAAGGATCCATCAACGATCGCCAAAGACACATCTCGCTTCTACTTATACATTGATTTTCCATTAATGTTTGCGACACACGAACTCATGTCACACCGGCATTCATCCGACATCAACAATATCATTCGACGGCGATTCGGTTCGCGTTGCTTTTTCTCATAGACGCAAAACGAAGAATCTCCACCCGGGTTCTCGAGAGGCACCGTTCTATCTCGATACACGTGCAGTCCTGGGTTACAATTCAACTGAAACATATATATTTAAAATGCTTTCGTTGAAACAAGAATGGTATTTGAAAATTTGTGTCGTTTGACAGTGATGCGTGCAATTATTTATTTTGAGACACACGAAATTATATTAGTTGAAATAATTATTATTATAATGATCATTCGAAATAATATTTTACCCTGTTGAACTCACATTCATCGTTTCGAATATTACTGGTTGCTATTTCAGAAGGGAAAGAACTGTAGAGAAAAACGAATATTCACGTACGTGTTTCAAAAGAAAAATCAGATGGATAATTACACAATCTTTCTATTGAAACTGACGAAAGGAATTGATACATCAAATTTAAATAATAGTCTGCGCACATTATCATATTTGTTGAGCATTGTTAAAGACATATCGTTGTCCTTAAAATGTCGTAAAAATTCTATGAAATATCTCATTGCATATAAAAATATTTATTTCAAGTTCATCTTGAAAAATGTACAATTCGCTAAAATACACGGTATTAAAATACATCATATTTTTATCAATAACGAATTAATTGACGTAACACTGCATAGGAAGTAGTCTCTCACTTCAAATACCATTTTACCCAGCACTGAATACGTGATCGCGTTCCACGTGTCGCGAAACTCTGGCGACGAGCCATCTTCTCTCTGTCGATTCGAAATTCATCTCTTTGGAATAATCGAAAATTTCCGCCTTACCGTAGAAACAAGTTGAAATAGCGACTTTCGAAAGAAAGTTCAAAATTGATATTACTAATTTATGTGAATGAATAAAGTTTCTAAAATCGTGCGATTCAATTATATCTCTCGAAAGTTAAACCGATCGAGTTTCAATTTTCGTCAAATTTTTCGATTTCATTACATAAAACACACGATTAACGTCCAGTTCTTCGAAAACAAGTCATTTGTCTCGACAAGATGTTCATTTGCCGCAAGAAGATGATGTATGTAATAGTAAATTCCGAGAACTGGGGCTCGATAACTTTGTCTGAGGCATCGATAGCTTTGTTCGATCTCGAGAAAAAATTCATCTTTCTCGTCCGACTTCTTCTATATTATTCCTTCCTCTATCGAGATCTTACGTTAGATGTAATATCGCTCGTGGAAGATCAAAGAAAAGACCGTGCAAACGAAACGAAAATGAAGACGACTCGTCGCCGATGAGAAATCGAGAACACCGACACCGTCGACTACGCGTTACCTAGCACACCTTTAATCAGGGGTTGAAAATGGTTGTAAGATTGGTTTCGGTTCGCGAAACTGTTGTAAAAGACGAAATAATCTAGTAACAGTTACGAGTGAAAAAGATTTTGGCTTATGTATGTTCGGTTGCAGTTAATATCAGATTTTATATATATATATATATTTATTATATATAATATTATATAGATTATGTTATATATAATATTTATAGATTATATATATATATATATATATATATATATATATATATAATATTCATTATACATCAGATAATAATTACATTGATTATATTAGGTAATAATCGGTTCCTTAATGGGATACAAAATATATAATAATAAAACATAATTGTCTATTGATTAAGTTTGTGTTTAATCATTAATAAAAATAACACTTGAGTGTTATATTATAATTATAATTATCATCTTCTATGATAATTTAAACGTCTAATTAACATATTACCAACGACTAGACTATTTATTATATTCCTAGCAGCAAAATATGTCTTATAAATTTTACGCGCCAACAAAAAGCATTGAAAATTGTAGTTTATTGGGTCTTAAATCCAAAATTGCAACGTTCTATATTATTAATTCTTAAATGTATGACTTGAGAAAAAAATTGTGTCCATCCAAGCATGAGCGTAAACTTAAACCTTTTGGCCATAAAGCAGCTCTTTGTTTATTTATATTCGTTAATTCAAATATAGAGGTTCACCAATTGAAAGATATAAACTGAAATGATACAGTGATAAATATTCACTGTTACAAAATCATTATAAAACCACGTTACTATTCCAAACTATTGCAAAACCAAAAGCGAAATCGAATCTCTTTCACTCGTAATTGTTTCAAGATTATTTCAATCCCTTAAAATAGTTTCAGTCAGACTCATAATAATTCTACTCAATAATTCTACTCGGAACCGTTTCAACCTCTGCCTTTAACCCTTTGTGGTCGTTTCGTTTAGCCAAGTTCCAAAAAACAATTCATTTTTTCTTCTACTTTCCAACAATTTTTGTCAATACATTCTTCCTTGTTCCTGTCTCCTCTCTCTCTCTCTCTCTCTCTCTCTCTCTCTCTCTTTGTCTTTCTGCTTCTAGTAATCTAGTAGATAATAGAAAACAAATTGTACTTGGAAAAATGAAATCGCGAGGAATCCGACCACAAGGGGTTAAACTCGTGGTGAAATACCCGCGGCATGCCTATATTAGTATATTTCTAGCCGCGGCGAGACCCAGCGCGTGGTGTTTCGACCCCCGAATAGCGTCGCCACCGCAGACGGGCCAAGAGTCAAGTAAGTCTCATGTGTCTCGCCGTTATGTCACCATATAGTTGATCGATGATCTCAAGACTCGAACACACGCTAGTCGTTAACGTGGCAGGTCAGCTTCGGAAAAAATTGTCGCTCACTCAATAGCACAGCGTTCAGATCAGCAGCAATAAATAAATTGTTTACCCTGCTAATACTGTTTGCCGCGCACACTTAAAGGTCCCTACACACGTTGAAACATACATAGTACAATCTAACGATACATCAATCGACATTTAGGGTTTATAGTATCGCAGTAACTAAACTCGCGAGACACGAAAATTGTGCAATCTGCTCTTAACTTTAACTTTATCTTTCTAATCTAAATTGGCCCCTTGCGCTGGCAACTGGTTACGGCGAACCATAACGAGTGACTGAACCGTATACAATAATTTTTCGTCGGTATGGTATCACTGAATACAAATTATTAAGAAACAATAAACTTATCATATTTTTGCCTGGATTACATTTAAATATACCTGAAACTGAGAAAATTTTGCAATTTGGGACAAAAAATTCTTGACGTACATGATACGTCAGTCCAGCGCAAGAGGTTAAGGAGCTCTTCGGAATTACATTTTTCAAATCCCGAGAAATGCATTTTTCACTTTAATTTTTTTTTTTCTATGTCCAAACAAATTATTGTAGATGTGAGATGTAATGAGGTATAGATTATAAAAATATACCGCGATAAAAGAAAAGGAATTTTAATCATAATTCGACGAGTTCCTCAATTTTGGCAGATACGTCTTTATTTCAAATAATTTTTTAATTTTACACGTGATATACATATTGTAACAACTTAAATTGTTGTTATTCTTGTGAGTTTAATTTATCGATTAACGACAGGATTAAAGTTAGGAACTGTGGCTGAAAATTATTATAATATATTATAATTATATTATTATATATTATATTATTATAATATATATATATACCTTAATCCTGTCGTTAATCGATAAATTAAACTCATAAGAATAACAATAATTTAAGTATCACAAAACGAATTAAGTTTCATGCATCATATCAGTTTATCTCCATACTTTTTTTTTTAATTTGACATGTGATATATTGAAACACATGCTTCTAAATATCAGATTATTTTCCAATTACAATATTACTGCTAATAATAGAAGATATGTCAATTATAAAAAATTAAAATTTATTAATTCAAAAAGACAGGTTTTCTAATTCTATGGTAACAAAAAGATTGAAAATGAATGAGTCTGATGATTATAGAAATTACAGTAGAGCTTCGTTTATATAAACTCTATTCGTTTGAACCAATTTTTAGTCAATATTTGATTAACTGTATTTTTGCTGATTAAATCCTTATTTGAATCTAAACTACGGTTATGTGAACAACAAATCACTAGTGGAGGATTAGTAAATTATACAAATTTAAATTAAATTATAGAAAATAAAATTTCTACTATATTATACAAATTTACTATATTATACATTTCTACTATATTATACAAATATGGACTTCAATTATACAAATTATTTTCTCAACAACTTCATATAAGCGAAGTTCCACTACATTTTCATATGAGTGATTCGACTTTTTATTATCTATTTCAAAAATCATTTTTATCGTGAACTTCACTCAAAAACGAATTTTTTTTTCACTAAGAGAAAAGAGTTATCCACACAAGTTGCTTCTAAGTCGATCTACATATATTCTGTATACAATGCATAAATATTTTGACACTTAATTATTGCAAATGAATCTCTTTAAATTAATCTTAATGTATACAGTTAACAGATATTGACAAAAAGAATAAATAAATATAATAATTAAACGGCTGAAGACTCTGCAGAGCGACATTAAGCATGTTTATTCACTGTTGAAATTTTAGAACGATTGGAAAATTAGAGTGAACATGTATTTCACAAGTAAACACAATTGAAAAAATTTGTACGGATTTTATGAAGCATCATAAAATAAATCAACAGTGTAAAAACAATAACAATTTGTCCATCGTAACAGAAACATCATCACTCTTTCAATAGAATTATACTAAAACTTTATTTATACACGACAATGTGTCAAACCTAAGTATTGATACTTGCGTCGTTACATGTTTCAATGAATGTAGGGAAAAGATGAGCGCATCTACGTTTGAATTATGTATATATATATATATACATAACATGAACATATGTTAAGTGAACGACAGTCTAAATACGAATTTAGAGAGAACGTAACCACGATGTCCAAGAAATCCTGTTTTCAACTGTCCTGCCTCGTTTCACCCTATCGGAGCGAGCAGAAACAAGCTCCGCTCGCGGAATGAATCGCAAATGATGTTGCCACATCAGCACGTTGAAAGATATCGCTTGCGAGTTGTCAATTTGCGTCCAGCTCGTTCGGCAGAATATCTTTCGCGAGCAGGGGCAAACACATTTTCCACAGACACACACATACACACACCGCGCACACTTTACATGTACGTATACACATGCGTGCAGTGATACACCTGTGATAACACACACGGACACGTAAGATGAATTTGTTGAACGTGACATTGTTTTTTTTTTCTATTTTTTTTTTTTTTTTTTTGGAACAGCACCGATTAGGAATGCAGCATTAGCAATACGTTTTGTACGTGATTTATTAAGAGAGCAAACACAAAGAGACGATGAAGGAACAGCTCTTTTCGTTTGTCGGACGACCTTTTTCGCTCCTCTTTTCATTTCCTTTTAGATTTTTATAATTGAACGTGTCTTTTAATATCGCATAACGGCACGATGCATTTGACCCAAATTTTGTACAAGGTGGGCATATCTTTCTATCGACGATTTCAACACTTTCTCGGTGGGACGTTTCGCGAAAATATTCTGATACTTGCGAACATGATTTACAATTCTTTGAAACGACGGTAATTGTACAGTTTGTATTTATATTTATATATTACTTTTATTTATAATATATTAATAATAAATTTTTATTTGTATATTAATATAATAATAAATTTTTATTTATATTTATATATTATTTTTATTTATAATTGATCATTTTATATTTATATGTTATCATATACAGTGTCGCAGTTCTTATGGTTTAACCATAAGAGGAAGAAAAAGTAAAAAATTGTTGTTACACGACACTTTATATTTGAGAAAATCGATTTCGAATATTTCTCAGTATAAAGATATTCGAAATCACTCAGGCTAATTCTAAACTTGTACAGAAATGAAAAGAAGAATGAGACCTCGGCGAAAATAAAATTTCCGTCCCCGACAAAATTAAGTTTCAAAGTTTTATCGACAGACCGCGGATTTTTATGCAGATTCAAATCTCTGAAAAAAATAGAATCCCGACTAAATATTGTAGAAAGCACTATACTTTAAATGTCTTGTGTATTTTTGCATATTACATGCACTGTGCGTGTAATTTTGCATTTCAAAATTCCTTTTGAACGTATAAAAATATAATTTCGCACGATAATCGTAATCTTCGTGATTTTCGAAACATATAAAGCAATTCGTAACGAAATTGTATCTCAAAATCTTATTGCCTTAAACAAGAAAATTTTGTTCTGAAACAAAAGTGTTAGGCCCGCCTTGAAAGTGTTAGGTAGATCAAGTATTCGTTCGTCCAATGTAGGAAAACTCGTGCAACAAAATCACTCGACTTTTCGTTTCGTTGTGTTTTCGTCACGATAGCTGGTTATTCCTATACCTTTATACTTGGAAACGGTGCAGTATCTGTTCTAACTAGAGGTTATGATGTTGAGAGTGTATCAAAGATACACGTGCAATGAATATGTCTGTGTTCAAATCCCTGTAATTTTTAATTTTTATTATTTTGCAGACATACCTGTATCAAAATATACCTGTAATACAAACGTACCAACATATTCAAGTTTTATTTCGATTCGAATATATATATATAAATACATGTATTTGTATTTGTTGCATCGCATTTGATGCAACATGTATAGATAGATAATTTCTGAAACAAATACATATACATTATTATAAATTGTAAAAATAAACAAAATAATAGAGTTTCAGGCAGGCTTAATCGCATACTTTGATATTTAAAAATGAATTAATATCGACAACAGGTGATTCTGTTGTTAGTTGGAAAAGCTTGATATGATCAACGTCGTTTGTTTCGGAAATTAATAATTTCACTTGAATATGTTAATCTATTGCTGTGCCTATCTGTGTTCTCTAATATTAAAATAATTTACTCTTTTTCATTCTTACAAGTACTTTTATATAATTTTATAATTTCTTTTAATATTAGAGCACATTGTAGCACATGTATTAATTAATGTACATTTTGATACATATATATATACATATATACATTATAGTTGTATGTGTGTATTAAAAATTACAGGTATTAAAACACGGGTATGCTGAATGCGCGTTTATTTAAATACACGTGTAATAGGGAACTTTAGCTCCAACGCGATTATTACAATAATTTCCAAATGTGCGTACAATCGACGATCCAATACACATAGTACGTTGTGACACGCTTTTGATTTCAGCAACGCCTGACCCATCGTCTACTCGATCATATCCCCCGGACACGCACGTTGTGCTCGTCTCGAGTAGAAGAGAGTAAAACTCTGCATGCAATAGAATATATATTACACGGTCATGTTTTCTCACTGGTTTGCACTGCATGATTTTTCCTTTTCGAATGCGCCGCACAATCATCATCGATCTTCCATCCGAGTTCGTTAGAACGAATCACCTTTGCAAATTACACACACATGCTCGTATATATATATATATATATGTATATGTATATATATACTTGATACACCGAGCATGTTTCCATACCGTTACTTTCTTAGCACACGCATAGTTTACATAGAACTCCCCGACTGCAGCTGTTTAATCGTTCAAAAGAAAAAAAAAAAAAAAAAGAAAAATACCGTTGTCGAGCAAAGGATCAAACATAAAATCCCGATATATCGTTTACTTGTTAGTCACACTCAACCGACCGAGCATGCTTGGATTCGATGCATCTATGAAAAAGTCAAATCAAACTGCAAAGGTGGTCCATTTAAGTGCGATATCCTCAGATATCTTTTTCTATCGTGATAATGTAAGAATATTTCCTACGTAATTTGGATAGTGTCCGAGCGGCCAATAGAACTAACAAGAGTTTTTTCTCAAAGGATTTTTTCTTTTTGAAGTTTTTAAAGTCGTTGATGTCTTTTTTTTTTGTAGATGGAGGATTCTTATTAATTTTATTTTAATATTTATTATCATATTTATTCTGATATTAGTATTAAAAACTCTCATTAATATTCGAATATTATGACAGTGTCATTGAATTAATTTATTCCAATTATATATATTATATATAAATTCTAATTATATATATATATATATATATAAAGGAATGTAAATTCAATATAATATAAAGTAAAAATATAAATTTTGTTCATTTAATGTACATAAGAAAAACAATAAATATTGCCGAAATTCAAAATCGCACATAACGAGTAAATTACGTTAAATTTATATTAATCTTGTGTATTTTAAATTACATAAAATCAAAGTATCTTTGTCATTGTTTGAATTTTCTTTGCAAATTTCATCATTATTTGACTGAACTACGTGGATGAAATAAATGAAACTTATGTTTCAATTAATTAAAGTAATTATCTTAAGATATTAAGAAACAATTCAATAATGCTACTATAAACAAACATTTGGAACAATAATTTTTGAAACATCGCAGTGCCCAAATATTAACAAAATTTAAAGACAATGAATATTAACAAGATGTATAATATAGTGTATAAGATATACACTATAACTATATATATGTACAATAACATGATTTTGAAACATAAGTTTTAACTTCGAATGTCGAAAATCGACAGTGACGCAGGAACCTGGCCCAATGTAATGCAAATTGAAAACTTTGAAAAAAAGAAAGAACCTTTAGAAAATATAACTCTTGCGAGATATTGGCCTCCCGATGCCACTCACGTCATCACGATGGACATTTAAGGGGTCACCCTTAAACGGACCACCCTGTACATACACTTGCGATCTTCGAACGGAAAAAAAAAAAAAAAAGAAGGAAATACGCGTGTACATTTTTGTCAAAATTCTTCGCGTTTAACCAGAGCCAAAGGAAAAAGACACAATAACGTCGCGTTCGCGTTCGTGTCACGTTTCAATCGGGTGGCTCGAACACGAACGTGATCCTAACTACGAGACTGAACCGATTTAAAGAGAGCTTCTCGCGAGTACGTTTCAAAGTGGGTTTTCTCCAAGGCGAAAATGGTCACGTTAAAGAGGTATGCGCGAATTGCAATTGCAATTCGACCAGTCGTCCGAAATTTCGATAATAGAGAGACGCGGTGAAACCTAACCTAAAACCTCACCTGACCTGACCTGACCTGACCTGACCTGACCAAACCCGACCCCTAAATGAACGTTTCGTCTTGCCCTCCGATTAGCTCGAATCGGACTCACAGTGTTTCACAGCGAGATCAAAACGTTCTTTCACATCGACATTTTCAGGGAGCATAAATCGCAGATGAAGAGGCCCGGTATGGCCGACGAAGACGGAGATACGGGACCGGACGAGGTCGTCTCATTCATCGATTTGCAACAGAACAGTCTGAAGTTGCCTGAAAAGGGAATATTAAAGAAACACGGTAGTTACGGTATTGCAATGATTGATAATTAATTACCAGCGAGTAAACTGACAGTTCGGGCGTAAACGGGAGATGCAACGAGCTCGAATCGATTAAAATTGTCACTATTGCTCTATTGGTAGACGTTTTATATAAATCGACGTTAGACGTTGTCAAATGCAAACAAATGTGTCAGAGGAAATGACAATGTCAAAATGTGATTAATAGACTACAGAATGGTTTAAGTAATTTTGTGAAATTAGTAAATATATAATTTTAAAGAAATAAATATATTAATAAATTAATAATATAAAAAAATTAATTGATTATATTGAAATATAATATAAAGAAAATAAATATAATATAGAATTGAAAAATAAATTAATATATATATAAATTTTAAAGAAACGGAACCTAGTATTTATTATAATGTTTGTTAGTTAAAACGGTTAGAAACCAAGTTCCATTTCTTTAATTACGTTTATAATTTTATACACTTTATATTATATTTAAATTAAAAGTGATCTTACAATGAAAAATCATGTTGAACTTTGAAGAACTTTTGGAAAGTTGATAACACGTGTTTCGTCTCATTCTATTTATACATCTTGTAAAAACGACAGTTTATATTATCCTGATCGAAATTTTTTTGGTAAATTTCTAGTTTAGCCGCTATTCTCCCAATATTTGCTATTTTGTTGTTGCTTTTTTAAGATAAAAAATCAACCGGGGAAAGTCGAAAAAGTTACAGGCACAAATTATACAGACGAATATTTGTGTGCAACACTAGCAATAACAAACAAATAACAAAAATAATCTGTATGATTCAAATTATATTATATCTGATTCCGTTTCATTTAATAATTCATCACGAATATAATGAAATATTTGGAATGTGCAATATCTTCATGACGTGAAAAATTTAAAAAAAAAAAAAAGGTACAAGAACTGTATAACTTTCTCGAAATTCTCCCGATTGATTTCTCATTTTAAGAACGAGATGGCCTTTCCAAAAAAAAAAAAAAAAAATCTGTATAATCAAAATTACGAAAAAGCCGCTAAAACTAGAAATTTGTCCACCAGATATATCACACAAGTCTGCCAATTCCAATTAACCTCTGTCAAACGCAGAGACTAACAGAGAATCGAGAGCTACTTGCATCGAGCGTTTACGCGGAACGTAAAGAGGAACGATCAGAAAAAGATCGAACGATTGATAAAAAAAAAAAAACAACGAAAATCGAGCAGGTATGGAAAGAGGTGCGGTAGCCAACGTTGAGCGCACGTTAGATCAGCTGAACGGTTACCACGAGCACATTATCGAGGCACTGAGAATGGCGGCGAACCAACGGGAGACGTCGGGAACAACATCGACCGGCGGGAACGCGATGGACGACGAAGCGCTGACGGAACCTCTGACGGAGCTGCTGACGGAACATCTGCCAGAGTGCTATCCAACGGACACGTACCGCAAAGACATCATAAAGCATATCGACAACCAGGCGGACGAGGAGTACGACGAGTACGCGCCGTCCTGCGGCATAATTCGCATACGCACACTGGAGGACCTGATCAAACAGCTGGAGCGCCATACCACTAGGAACCGAAGTCCCAGTGGCTCCGAGGACATGCGAATGTCCGAAAGCGAGGCCGATCGTCCGTATAGGAAGGATTCGTCCGTTTGTAGCGAGTCCTCTCAAGGGTAAGAACTAATGCGAAATACGCGCTTCGCCAATGCTTTTACCTTCTCGTTCTCGACGTTCTTCAAGGCTTTTATCACAGACGAGATACGGGATGGATCTTTTGGGTCACGTGGCTCTTACTAGGCAGCTCCAGAGCTCGTTCACCATTTTTTATTCGAGCAGAAACAAGATTGCACAGTTCGCGCTATAGTTGCGAAATTACAAAACTTCAGGACGACTTATTATTACGAATTTTGTTTAATTTAGAGACAAATATTCTAACATACTCATCTATGAGAAAGTGGTAAAAGTTGCTCTGCTTTTTTTTATCAAATTTGATAGTCGAACGTAATTCCTGATATAATTGTAGAGAGCATAAAAAGATTTTGCCAATTTTTTCCCACACGATCAGTATCTCACACACAATATCTGTACCTCGTCTGTGCTTCTACTACCATTACGTTATCATTCAATCCGTATCGTATACGTACACTGTTCTTTGGCAAAGCTTCGATGGCGACATATGGTTCAACTTGATCGCGAAACGATACAACGTGTTTTACGCGTGAATTCTCTTTTTATTTGTCGTAGAGAGCGTACGAAGTTCGATAAGCGTGTGTAAAGAAAAGAAAGGATAATACGACTATCTGCAATACATACACAGACACATACATATCCCACACGATTGCGATAAAGAAATCTCTATGAAGCTATTATATACAAGTTGGCTCAACGTTGAATCGTTTCTTTCGTATTTCGATCTGATAAATATTTTAAAAAAGGAACTGATCTCGATAATTTTTTAAATGCGTCGTCAAGGTCATCATCTTGAGGTATCATGAAAGATGTAACTGGGGATCGTAATTTTTGTTAAGTACTCGAAAGTGTTTCATCAGAATTTGGTACAAAATGGATAAAAGTAAACAATTTTTTTTATTCATTTTTAATCGAATGAACATTGGATTTGATTCAGGTTAGATTTTCTTTGGAGTGATGGATGCATGCTTTTACTTCATGACAATACATATACATGCGTATGTGGTATCGAAACAATAATTTCACAAAATGAAACTAATTCAAACCCATTTCTGAATTCTGATTAAGTGGATTTTCTTTGGGAGAAGCATGTTACTTCACAATACATATTTCTACAATACATGTACATATATATAGTATCTTAATACGAATTTTTCATATATATATATTTATATATATGTGTGTGTGTGTATGTATGTATGTATTAAAACACAAAATAATAATTTCGCAAGACAGTTCATAGTTTTATTTACTGCACGATTTTAATAGGAATTAATTATTGACAAATGAATGCAAATTGTTTTTCTTTGTACAAATAACGAATGTTACGTTCTCAAATACTATTACATAAATATTATTTATTTGCTATCTTTTCTGTTAAAATCATACTACGTTAAATCAATTTTTGAAACTCATCGAATACTGTGTAACTAAGGAATCTGATTAAGTAAATTAAATGCCATGATTGAAAATATACGATACATAATATATTTTAACTCTTTTGGTAAACGGCAAGCCTCAATTAAAACCTTCAAAACACTACTCAAGTCGCATATTAAAAAATTATCGAAATCAAGGATGGATCCCTCGTCATAAATATTTACTCTTCACCTATTCATCGTCGACATACATTACATGTACTTATTCGATCAGATATCTCACACGCTGGCATCTTACAAACTCTCGCCGTCGCATTCTATTATACTTACTTACTACTATTCTTATCAATGCGTCGTTGCTTACTTTTTTCTTCTCTCGCCAATTACGTATTTTTGTATCTTCTGCTTCGTAACATTGCGCATATTACAGCTATCAGAACCCGTAATGACAAGCGTCTGGATACAGTAGCCATTAGCTGTAGCTATACGTTGCAGGCAAACGCGCGATCACACCGGATTGAATTGGTTAAAAAAAAAAAAAAAAAAGAAAGAAAGAAAGAAAGATCTCGGCGAAAAGTCTCGACTTGCATTCACCGACCGCGTGTATCTTTCGTGCGATTTCTCTACATGCAGAGTCTGTTTATACCGTGCCTTTCTCGAGAAGTCTGTGTTATTTGGGATATTTCGAGGGACCTTGAACTCACTCTCGTGAAACGTCTGAACAAAGACGAACTATGTGACAGAAGTGATAAAACGAAAAAGGAGGAGATAGAGAAATAACAATACTAACGGCAAATAGAAACAAATAGGAAAATAAAAAAAAAAAGGAGAGAGAGAGAGAGAGAGAAAATAGGAAAATACACGTGTACAAACGAAATTTAAAAAAAAAAAAAAAAAGAATGTAAACACTTGTCAAGGAACTGATTCGATTTCCTACGTAGAAGCAGGAGATGTAGCCGCGGCCGTGACGATACCTACGGTAGATATTGTCAACCATCGTCTCGAAGTCCTTACGGCACCCATCAGCACACTCAACACTCCCATCAAATGTACAAGGAGGAGGGTATCTATGCGACTGCCGATCCTGACAGAGGCTCAAATACTAGGGGTGAAACGCCCGATAGTGAAAGGTATCGCAGATTCTTACAATACGAACACCACGGGCTTGGTAGATTGACGTTCGGTAAAGAGTTCTGCGCAAATCCCCTGGCAATCCTTAACGAGAGTTCCCCCCTCCACATTCCAGTACGCGTTCCCGCCATTAGTGTTGGGAATCCCACGTTGGTGTTTCAGAATTTTTCGGAGAAAGTTATGTACAGTGAGAAGAAATCACTATTTCGTAATGCTTTGAGTTTTATAATTGACGCTATTTTGTAATGTGATTATTAATTACTATTAATGATTATGGAAAATTATTAGGAATTTTGTTCATTTATGGAAACTGAAAAAGTAACACGTGGTTTTATATCGAGTTTTATATCCTTTGGTTACAATATAGGCACGAATTATTTGAAAGAAACGACGATGGTGGAATTTGAATTCGAATTAGAAGTTCCAATTCTTTAAATTGGAGATTAACGAGTACAAATAATTAATAAGTAGAAATTACATGTTATTTCAATATTATGTCTAATATGATGTTGAAGAAAAGAAAATGGAAAGGGAATAATTAATATTATAACGTTACAATGTTTCATTTCTGACATGTAACACTTATTTTCCTTATATATGACTGACAGGAGATGACTCCGCGTGTAAAAATAAGTCGCAGACAAGGAATAACATTTTTTCATTTGAGAATTCGTTTTCGAGAAAGTCAAATTTGAAAATCTGTCAAGTAATTTTGAGTTTAGCTACTTCTGGATTAAATAATCGCCAGGAAATTGTTCCATCCTGTATTTGATATTTAATATTCAATGATAATAATTTTAATAATATTTAATAGTAATCTTTCAGAAGTGCAACTTATACTACGATTTGTAGAAAAAATTAAGCAGAATATCTCAGAGAATTACGGTGAAACATTTTGCAAAATAATATTAAAAATGTTCCAGCGAAAGATGAACATCTCAATCGAATAAAAAGATTTCGTGAGAAACACTTGAATCTTCCAGTCTTCTGAATTTTAAACAACTAATCGAATGATTCTTTGAAATGATGGTTTCATTGATCTAATTTTGCCTCTCACTGTATGTATTTTGTTCCTTGAAACTGAGATCGCGACCCCCTATTTACGATATTTAAATAGACTGCTCCTATCGTATAACAATTCCCATCACTATAATGAACGCGCATTCAGATAAGGATTGGTGCATGCCCAAATTGTCCGATGGGTTTTCAACCAGTTAAAAATCATTTCGTCGAAGTTGCAACATGTACAGTAATCCACGCTCTATCCCAAATGTTGACTAAATAGTCGATATCTGAACGTCTGAAAATCGAAACGGAATATAAATAGACTCGGCATACTCCCGGTCTTTTACGTCTGTATATAACGAGAGTTGCAAGTCCATTTTTACCATTTTTTTTAATCGTCTCTTAAATGTAGTAACATTGTTAGATCGTTGCATATGAAATGGCGGATTTCACAAACGTGTTAAGGTGCTGTTAGATGATATTTATTTTAGACATCAATTCAATCTTTTAAAGCCTATCTCTAATATTGCATTTATTGTGTTATACATAATTATATAATTTTTTATTACACATACAAATAATAGTTTGATTCTGAAAAATAATATTTCATACAGATTTATAAAGAAAAATTTATATAGCATAATAATTTAAAAAAAAGATAGTATGGATGATAGAGAAAAGCAGAACATCATTTTATTTCTCAAAATAGTGATTATTATTTCACTTGTTATAAATTGCTGTTTCTTTTTTGTAAAATAATCAAAAACTGAATTATTTAAAAAAATATAAAAAATACAGAAAAATCGTGTCTTTTTTTTCTATTTCTGCACAATTCTTAACTCTCATAAAAAATATTAAAGAATTAATTATCTAATGTTATTTTCAAGAAAATAAATACTAATGGAATACTAAATAGAAAATTAATGTTACTTATTACACAATATTATTTATAATTTATTATTTATAATATTATTTTCATACTACGAATTTCGTCATTTCATCTGCAACAGCTATACAATATTTACCATATTAAGGACGACGAATACATACAGATACATAAAGTATAAAAATGTGCGAAATAAAATAGACGGAAAGATGTCCTGAACTTGAATGAAAAGTTGTGCCGTTGCCTCCAGAGTTTCCACGAGACCAAGGGAAAAGAAGATACGACTCGATTCGACAAAATTCAACACACCAACCTTCGCATGCTAATTTACTCTTTTAGTTGCTTGTGCAATGCGCTGTGAATGTGCTGCAAATTACCGTACGGGACGTGTATTGTGTATCTCTTTGTCATATTTCTCGCAAATGGCCAGAAACGCAAGTTGCTGCAAGCATTCTAGTGTAATTACAGTTCATGGCAAACTGGCGATAGTGGAAACTTGCGAGTCACGCGAAACACTGAAAGCGACTCTCTCTTTTTCTCGTATCTGTCGACACCTGATTAACTGCGGTTCAAGACGCGCTAGAACGGCTCTTTATCTGCACTTATCCTTATCTGAAGATTTCCTTTTTCTTTTTGGATCGACCGTCACCTTTGTGCTTTAATTGTACGACAAAGTTATTTAGAGAGAAAAAAAAAAAAGAAAAGAAACAAAGTTGTTAACATTTATATTGTGATCTTTACATATTGTATCTACGTGTACTTTCAACGTGCAACTGTTCGTAGCTGCAATTGCAAGGCTTCGCACGTGCGCAATGGCTAGAAAGCTTTGTCTATCAAACACACGTGTATGCACGCGTTACCTTTCAGACAAAATAGAAAATGACGCACAGTGAAGTATTTGTACCGATGTAAGCTGGCTAAAAATATTTCAGTTGATTTAAAGCACACGTATAAGCGTTAATGTTATGATAGTAGTACAACACTTCCTTTTATTTTTTGAATATCTTAATATTCGAATATTATATCAGAACAGAGTATGTGCTAGTAATTAGAAAATCACCTAGTTAGTAGCAGATATTCTATTCAGAAAGCAGGTATTCTATTGTACTATCATAAAACATTAAAATATACATATACATATATCTCTTAAATCAATAAAATATTTTTATGCTATTTTAATATTTATTTCTCAAACTCTATTATGCACATAAACTGTCATCTAATACATAAATGTTATATGTGTGATTTCTTGAGAAAAAGAATATTGTTTTCAAATATCAAAAATATAGAGGAAAGTAAAGAGGAAAAAGAATTACTTTAATATCTGCCTCTTACATGCAACATAATGACGCGACATAATCTTGAACTCGCATTTCATTGCACTTTTAAAACACTGTATAGATCTTTTAAAATCTTTCTCGAGCGCGAAGACTGTTATATTGGAAAAAAAGATATCTATTCGCACGAAACATAGAAAACAAACGTTTTTCATTTTGAAAAACTTTCGAGTATTGACCAGAGTCCTGATGCAAATACTCCACTGTACGATAATTACTGTACGTTGAATTCAACCAAGGAAATGGTTAACGCGTGCATTCGGCCCGAATTCGCATAGTACGTGTAATAAAAAAGAAAAAAAAATAGATAGCGTGTAAAAGAAGGTAAGTCTACGGGAAGGGAAAAGAAACAGGAAAGAAGGTTATTAGGAGCTTGTCGAGGAGTAAGAAATCGCGTGTCCGCAGCGTGTGTATGCAGCATTAGTGGTCGTGGAATAGATCCAATGGGCTCGTGTAATCTTGTTATTTTCTAGTGATGCATTTATTCAAGCTCAACAACTAGCCCGACGGACTAGTGAGGACGGAGTGCAACACCGGCCACCACAGCAGCCGCCGCCGCCGCCGCCGCCGCCACCGCCGCCACCTGCAATGACTGGTAGCGCGGTACAGTTGCTGCATCAACTGCATCATTCACAGCGAGAGCATCGACAACAGCCGCAGCAACCGCATCGCTGCCATCATCACGCGCAGTCCCAGCAGCAGCAGCAGCAGCAGCAGCAGCCGCCGCCGCCGCAGCCGCCGCAGCCGTCGTCGCAACAACATCAACGTCAACAACATCAGCAGCAGCAACAGCAGCAGCAGCAGCAGCAGCAGCAGCAACAACAACAACAACAACAACAACAACAACACCAACTGCCGGTGGAACAACTGCCAATACAGCAGCGCGGCTATTATCCATCCCCACCCCACACTGATAACGGTCTCGATAACAACGAGACTGAAAATGCTCAATCCCACCAACAACAAATGCTCCCCGACGTTCGTGGAATCGATGTTAATCACTTGCCTAATATTAACAAATGCCCACTAGACGATAATTTTAGTCTAGATTGTAACATAAATAATGGTTCCCCTAAAGAATTAAATACCAACAACACTAGTGATAACGAAAATACTGCCCTACTGCCCCCTTCGCATTTTCCTGAGTACAAGCATTGATAATTATTAATCGATGACAGATAGTGTCCATAAAACATAGTGGTGTGAATTTAATCTTGAACTCGCATTTTATACTGAATAGTGTAAATAACGATAAACTATTGATCAAGCAACAACAATGACAACAACAAGAGAAAAAAAAAAGAAAAGAAACAACGGCAAACAGGTATTAAATTATATGAATTAAAATAATCTATATGAAATGTTTATTAATAAACATTAGTAAAGCGATTTACTCGAAGAAATGTATTGTTGTTATTCGTTTATACCCGATCCCTTTTGCGTAACATATTTTTCCATTTGTTGCTATTTTATTGTTTTGTCATTTTATATTTAATCGTGTGACATCATGCAGAATATAATTCAAAAATTCAAAACTGAAAATTTATCTTCTTCGTTCAAAATTAAATTTCTTAAAAATTAAGAGTGACAGAGAAAAGAGTGGATTTTAGATTCATAATCGATGCATAAAAATCTATCAGAAATAATTATTTACCATTAGATAAATTTTTCAATGTTAGACATTATTATCATTATCGTTACTGCATTATTATTATATCATTCAAAAATACAATATGGAAGAAAACCTATTCTAAAATACTAAATAAAACACAGGCAAGGAAATGTTACCATTCTCGAGTATAATAAATACTTGTAATCTATACTATATTTGTCAAAAATTCTAGTTCAAATACAATTAGTCATGGCGATTTGAATCTTTCATCCGGCATGACTGTATATAACGAAAGGAACAAAAATGCATACGACTCACGATTGTGTAGAAAAGAAGAATATTGTCATCGATGTTACTGTGTCCCGGTGAAACTCGTCATCAAATAGGATCTGGAAAAAGGTATGGAATATTTTAACTTTCTTAAAGACCGTGTTATTTGGAAAATTTGAAATAATATGCTCTATTGAACATAAAATTAGAATAGTAATATTTAATTCAAGAATAAAAGTTTTAATTTATCAAATATTTGCCAAATAATTATTCAATTAATAATTACTAAATACAAGGAATAGAATTAAATGAGAGAGATGCATATAAAATACAAAGTTACTTACATTTTTAGTTTTGAAGCATCACCAAACACAAGAACAAGAAGAAGAGTGAGAAATCTTCAACAAAATATAAATTATTGTAATTTATTCTGAAAAATACTTGTAAATTATTCTAATAACGATAAAAAAAATTGAAATTCTAATAGAGTAATTACCATAGAAATTGCAACTTTAACATAAAAATTAAAAATATAGAAGTTGAGAAAATAATATATTAAAAATATCCACCATTAAAGTTTTAAATATACTTTGTATTAATCAAATATAGCGCGCTTTTTCGTCAGTGAAGCTGCGCAGTATAGAAAAGACAAGATGTGCAAAACATGTTCAAATCTGCCCGTGATTGTTCAAAATATATAGTAAATAAATAGTTCCAATTATCAAATTAAAAAAAATCTGTTTTCATCTACTTTCATTAGAATAATTCAAACATAATTATATCACCGTATAAAACTATCGGATTTACTATAGCACTCTTTTGAATTTCGCGTCTCTATAATTACAATGCTTCGAACTATCCCTCAAAAGAAAACCTAAATTTTCAAACAAATGTACGAGAAAAACAAAATAATGATCAAATTTTATAGCCATAGTATGAGCCACAAATGCTACTACCAAAAAAGACAATCGAAGAAAACAAGATAATTTGATCATAAATTATAGTTATAATTGATAAATAATTGTATAAAAACTTACAGTAATTAGACGAAGTTAACAGCAGTACGAGTATGAAAGTATTACGCGATTAATAAAAGTCAGGCAGGACAATACATCCTTATGCCGTGATTTTCGACATTAGATTAACTTCTCGTGCAACAGGTTGCGTCGCGAACTAATTTAGGGAGGGAAGGGCGGGGGAAAGGGGGGAGAGGTTTGAGTGCACGAATAAAAATATACATAACAAATTTTTTAAAATAATGCTTACTGCTCTAGATTGTACATCCAACAATGCAAAAGCTATTAATGCAATCTTTATTCAATAAATCCGGAAAACACTGCTTCTTACCTATTCTTGCAACATTATCGATCGATCGTAAGAAATTATATTGATGATAAACGAGGTCCATATATCTCGGCAGTGTATCGATTGAATGTCCCGATATATAATCGCGTGTTCTAGTGTTTCGTTGACGTTGTAATCTTTACTTAATTGTAAAATAAGATTATTGCGCGCGAATTTCGTACCAAGATCTTCGTATTTCGTAGTTTGAATTTCATAAGACTTTCGTACAAGATACATTATCTAACTTTGAACATCAAATTAAATTTGATATTAAGTTAAATAAATATAATTGTTACGTCCGCCATAATAAATCACAGAGGAAATAATGCTTTGATTATTTTTCGGATCGGTAATTCAGAACGTGAGATATATTCATTCTTAATCCATAAAAGATGACCATAGATGGTGCTGGTTACTCATCGAATTTAAATTTCGCGCGCAATTAAATGCATTTTTTAGTCTGTAATATGTAATTTTTTAGTTTAATACGAAAGCAAAAAACAGATAACTTTTGCTACAATTTTTATATTAATTATATTACATTATATTATATACGTATGTAATTATAATAATTATAATTAATGTATATTAATTAATTCATTATTAAATTAACATATATATAAGTTACGATATAATATTTCTGAATGTTTTAATCATTAACTACCAAAATTTGTACATAATTATTTGTTCTATACAATTATAGTATACAAAATATACTATAATAATATAAATCATTTCAATTATTTAAAGCTGCTTTTTATGAAATATATCGTTAAATAAAGAAAAATGATTTATATTATAAAAATTTATATTAATTGAAAATAAAGAAAATTTATATTAGATATTTAAAAATTTATATTATATATATCAATACCATAAATTCAATTCTAAGATAGCTATCCAAGTAAGCATCACTTATAAAATCCCACAAAGATATAAATCGTTCTAATTCTAAATGATCATATCGTTTGTATTTTTCGTACAAGTTCGTGCTGTTAGTGCACATTTTTCATCTTTATTTAACGTTCTTACCTTATTTCAAATATATTCTTATTTACTATTAAAAATTGAAAAACTTACTTAAAAATTAAAGGGACTTACTTTTTTCCATGTTTCACTAAATATCATGAAATCGTTAATCTTGTTGGCGAATAGCCCTAATCAACACTCAATTCGCGTCGACAAATTTCGAGTAATAAAAATGAGACTTAACAACGACCTTAAAAATCTCCCCTAAAAATCGATCTGAAGTCAGGTGCAAGGTATGTAGTTATGTAGATGCATTGTTGGCCATGTTCACGTCAGTCAGTTAGTATCGCTGGTTGGTATATACTTTCTCGGGTTACATCGTCGCAAGAGATAATTTCAATTGGAATCACGGTCACCGATCTTTGTTTCATCAAGCGTGGATTGGAACTCGAGAACGGCACGGTCGATGCCAAGTGCGATTAAGGGGACAGCTGACAAATCTGATCGATGTTAAACGCACCAATGACAAAAACAACGAACATGCCTCCGAACACACGCCTGTGAATTGACTGCACGATTCATGCAGATTCGTCGTTCAGTTAATAAAGATGTGCGTCACAAAAGTTTGAGCCTCACCGAACGATGCAGTCCATTTATTGGACCGGGAGGCTGCTGTCGCGGGCGATATGGAATGGCATATCAAATTATACAGCATGCGCCGATCCTAACGTGAACAAACGTCGCGAGGCATCATTCGTTTCGGCTGTGTGTGGTTTTCCAAAAGATTTCACGCGAGGACGTATACGTAAAGGACAATTCGGTGATGACGCATGGTTCAGTGCCAAATTCAAAACTGTCGAAGTAATAGGTAATGTTAACCCGCCGCAATCGTCGTGAAACGATCTTGTGATTCTGTATTCGCACGTGATTGGCAATGTGTGGGAATCTCTTCCGCGTTTCATAGGTTTCAGTTATCGCAAATTATACCTAATCTCGGTATCTGCTGCAGCCGAAATATCTGTCAAAAAGCTCATGTTGCCAAAACAAATCTGTTGAATCTGTTTACGACTGTTGGCAAAGCTGTGAGTAATATCATCGTTCCATAGATTGACAATTTCACTGCTCTTTTTAGGAGTAGCAGATGGTGTAGGCGGATGGAGGCATTATGGAATCGATCCGGGAGAGTTTTCTAGTTTTCTTATGAGAACTTGCGAAAGACTGGTTTCTATGGGCAGGTTTACACCTTCTGAACCAGCTGGATTACTAGCACGTAGTTACTATGAATTACTAGAAAGTAAACAACCCATATTAGGTATTAAAAACAACTTGCAGCTTGCATCTTTTCTTATATTTCACTTATATCTCTGTAAGAGAAAATGAAAAATTGTGTTTCGGTAATAGTAGTTGTGCGATTGTTTCAGGTAGCAGTACGGCGTGTGTTATAGTTCTCAATAAAGAGACGAGCAGCATTTATGCAGCTAATATTGGTGATAGTGGTTTTGTAGTTGTAAGAAAAGGAGAAGTAGTTCATCGTTCTTCCGAACAACAACACTACTTTAATACTCCATTTCAGTTATCTCTCCCACCTCCAGGACATTCTGGTCTGGTACTTAGCGACAGGTATTAAGTTATATAAATATATGTTGTCAATCTACATTGTGTATTTAATGTACTATTCCATTCAAGACATTGTACATTTTAATTCTAGTCCAGAATCTGCAGATACTTCAAGTTTCGGAGTTGAGGATGGCGATGTAATTCTTTTAGCAACAGACGGAGTATTTGATAATGTGCCTGACCAATTACTTATTACTGAAATGCGTAAAGTTCAAGGGGAAAGAGATCCTACTAAGATACAAGGAGTTGCCAACTCAATAGCCTGGATGGCTCGTAGTTTAGCTTTTGATGGCGCATTTATGTCTCCATTTGCCCAAAGTGCTAGAGAAAATGGAATTGACACTATAGGTATGAAAAACCACATCAATATTACCATATAAACTACCATATAAAATTAACATTTCAAAATCAACTTCGAAAGCATAGTCTAATAGAAAACATAGTTTTTAAGAAAAAATATATTCAATTTATTCATACCCATACATTTCACAATTTCTTATGTATCTTATGCATGTACCTATTGTTTACTTTGGTAGTAACTTTGTAGTAAAACAGTTTTCTTTCTGTATTGTTCTATTTTCTAATTCTTATATCTAGAATGAAAAACTTGTACAAATATGCTGTTTTCCGTTTTTCTTTTTTTTTTTCTTTCTTTCGTTTTTTATTTTTTTATCTTTTTTCTTTCTCTATTTTCTAACAAATGAGCAGTTATCTCTCAAAGTAAACACATCAATAGTTCGAAAGAAATCTTATTACTAACTTTTTCAATTAGGATAAGATTTTCGATTTACCATGAGAAAGGCAAGACTAACTTAAATATTAACATGTATATCAACGTGTTTCTTGTATTTTTTAGGTGGTAAACCAGATGACATTACAGTGCTTTTAGCAACGGTGGCAATATAATAAAGTATGTACAATAGAGTCTTGATCATTGTATTATAGTCCATGTCATTGCGTATATGTACCTAGTTATACATCATTATATCCCGTTATGATAATCATTTATTATTTAAATCTAAATAAATGGTTTTGTAAATCATTTTTCATCTTAATTAATCTTTATAACCACCGTAAAAAATGTTACTTCTCAAGAATTATTTTTTGACTAGCAAAATCTTGTATGTAAATATACAAATTTGTTTAAATATATACAAACAAGAAATTACAAAAATTTTATTAATTTTTACTGACAACAACAGTACATACCATATGGCACAATAACATAATAATGCAACACTGTAATGTATTATAAATAAAAGCTAGTTATTTTGTTGGATTAAATATTTAAAAAATTATAGTAACTTTCACAAATGAATATGTAAGAAGAGATATATTCAAAGTTTAATCGAAAATTAAATGCGGCTTAAATGAATTTCTTACACCGCTATATATCGAATAATAATGTATAATTTATGCAATAATAATTTCAAACTAAATCGAACCATTTTATTTCATTATAATGGTTATATAAATAACATTTTTACCTAGTATTTACAAAAAGGCTACTATCTAGTTAAATCCCAGAGGTTCTCATTGCCTGGATTCTTGCAGTTAAAATTGTTAAAGTCTTATACCAACTGCGTTCTTTTGGGTCATACAACTAGAACTTGCAAAAACTTAGACAAAATGTATTTTCAATTGCGCTATCAACAAAATATCGCGCTTATTTTCCAAAAAGACGCAAGTTACACAAGTCTCTCACAGTTTTAACTACCATCTAGTAAGTCATACATAACTGTTCAAGTGGAAATTCTTTGTAATACTTTGGCTTTCTGCCGATGTACGCTTTGTCATAGTAAGTTTGACAAATGAATTGTTCTATTATATACTAGAATGCTGATAGGAAATATGAACACATCACAGTATAACGTGCAATATGATATTCTAAACCAAGCAATTGATGAGTTATTGGTTTACTAGGGGGAAAAAAAATAATTAAATTTATCTAAGAACTATGTTATCTTTGTTAATTTATTAATAGCTTTTTTCATTCATACTCGCATATTATAAACATCACAAAAAAAGGAATGCCATTGCATGTTTTATTAAATCTTTTCTGATTTTGAAATTAAATAACAATGTATATCTTATGATACCATTTTATCAAATGCCCATAAGAAAAGAAACTGTGATGTATTCTATTATTTACAATGTTACATATTCTCAGACATGGTATCAAATGTATTATTACATAATTAAAAAATACCGGGGGATTATTTATAATAGGAGAATAAATAAAATTATTTACAACATTCAATTATGTAAGATTTTTACAATATAATGTTTTGGAATCAGGGGTTTCAATTTTGTGTTTTTGCAAACAGTAAAAATAGTATTTTATACTCTATTATACGAGTCTTTTCTTGTTTAACAAAAATGTAAAAGTTGTAATTTCCTATTTTTAGTTAAAATTGTATATCTTATCAGGCACAAGATTGTAGTAAAAATTCATACTGTGCATTATATAATTATAACGAAAACAGTATTTAAACGAATCTCATAATGAATTAAACACTTACAGAAATGTAATTCAGAAGAGAATTTAGAATTCACATTTTTGTGAAGATATATTAAATTTTGTACTATATAGAAATTTTGCAAATTATACTATATTAATAAATGACCAAATACATTTTAAAATATTTTTAACAAATACGTTATCAGTATGAAGCTTCTTTGTATTCTCGTAAGCACTATAAATATATCACAATAGTCGATTATCTGAGAAATACTGTTTTCATTTATGTATATTATTTGCGTTCAATGAAAAAATTGTAACCCCTGCTAGAAAATTGGAAGTCTTATCTTTGTCATAAGTTTTTCATTACATTTTACATAATATCAAGGCTGCAAATATTTAGTACTGTTTTTTAGTAACTGGAAAAATCAAGGAACAATGTTTTATATATAGCAATGTAAAAGTTTACTTGATATGCCAATCAGTAAGAGATGGTTTGGAAGCAGGACCTTGAATTTAAAATCATTGTATATTGGCTTCTTGACCCCAATTAAATCCACCAGGACGATCTTCAGGCGGCGGAGTATAATCTGGATCTTCTGGATGTGCGTCAAACAAAGTCTTACTGTAAACAAACAACAAATGATAATAGCACTATTGCAATATATAACTAGCCTGTTGAAGACTTCTTATCCAAGTAACTTACAGTATTTGTGGAGTTTTTAGAACACGAAAACCTCCCCGTAAACGTGGAAATACATCTTCTGCAAAGTAATACATATGTCCCACAGCCATTCCAACTAGATCCACCCAAATTGTATTACCAAGAAGTACAGAAAATCCAAGCAGCACCCAAGGCAAATATGGTGCCTGGTGATAAAAAAAACACACATGCACATTTAAAAATGATCTATTCTTAGTCTCCCTATAGAACTCGATACAAGAGAAATGGTAAAAAACTTACTTGGAAATTTAAAAGTCCGAAAAAGTTTAATCTAACAAATGGATTTCTCCGTGACCAAACATATACCAACATAATCGTGAATGCATGGCCCAGAAATAACAAATTAACAAAAAATGCAAATGTCTATAGTAAACTTAGGATAAATACATACAATGAAATACATTGGTGCATGTACTTTATCATCGAACTCAAAAAATGATAAATGAAATATTGAAAGGATACAATCATACATATGCCTCCAAAAATGAACATCATTACAAAGTCAGCTGTCCTTCTACGAAATGATCCTTCCTCTAGCATTCGACAGTATCGATAGGTAAAGATCATGTTGAAAAGGAAATTGAAACCCATATTTCCAAAAAATAAAAACGTGGTTATTAATCTCCATAGCTGAAAGAACATTTATATTATAAATGATGTGACAACTATGAAATACACGAAGCCAGTTGAAAAGTCTAGAACACAATAATAGATATTTGTTTACCTGATATTGTTCAATGATCAATGTAGGATTAAAATACAACCGAAATGGAGATACCAAATCTAATTGCTAAAAACGGACAAACAAAAGTAATTTGACGATTACTGTTTTGAAAATATTATTCTGCAACAATAAAACTGTACTGTGAGAGAAACATTTTACAAACCACAGCAAGAGTCGTGATGACACAAGCTGTTGTGTAAGCTCGTGTCACCACAGGTATTTGCATGTACTCCTGCCGGAAAGACTGATAGGCCATTGGTGTATCGTTACGATCTTCTGTACACCTAAAGACCAATTTCTTTTCCAAACACGTCGCCTTTATATTTTATCATCACATGTTGCTCATTACTGTGCGTTATCTAAATTTAATCATTACCCACATCACGACAAATTTGTTATGTTCAGCTTCGTACACGTAATACGTGAAATCCGTTACAATCGAATAACGTAAATCTCGATTTCACGTAGTTATCGATAGTGTGTTCGTGGCTTTTTCGTATTCGTGAAAACGTTGCAATTATGTCCTCTTCAATTTTAAATAAATTGTCGTCTATACATAAAGTGAATTTGAAAAATAAATAAGCTCGTGTTTATCACACGTTTTTATAATTATCTAAAGAAAATTTTCATAAATATAAATACAGAAAGATTTTTACATTACTGATTCTTATGATTTGAATTTACAATTTGTTAGTCATGTGATATTTTTTAAACATCTAAAGATAGTTAGTCACTGATATATATTATGTTTTAATTATTTAGTAAGAAGAAATATATCTCGAATAAAAATATGAAATTACGTTTCATTTCATTGCTTCATTCTCGCAAGTATGAGAACTATATATCTTTATGTCCATATAAATTATTTTACAAAAATGCAAAATATACGTTATCGCCGGTTTTGCGTAGCACTGATAATATCAAACGATTTTCAAGAATTAAAGTTTACATTTTATTGAGTTCATATGTTGTATAAATAGTTTTCATTAAATATTCATTTCTTTAGGTTTCATTGCATTATCTATTAAATTTAAAAAAAAAAATATATATATATATATATATATATATTTCACATAGTATATAATATTTATGATCATATTATATAATGTTGTAATATGTCATATAATAGTTATGATCAGTATAATATTATTATTTATCTGTATATAAAATTCTCGATAATAGTATTATATCGATCTTTTACATATCTGAAAATAATAGAAAGAAATATCTCTCTACTATCTTAGTATATTAGTAAATATCTCAGTGGCTATATCTTTATTTCATAAATATGAATGTTTATATAAATTTTCATTTATAAAAGCGATAATAAATGTAGCTAATAAGTAGTATGTAATCAATTTTAGTATAAAATTTATATATATATATATATACATGTATATATATTTGAGGTTGAGAAGTATATACATACAGTATGGTATTATATATATCACATGATAATAAAGCGTGCTGCCATCTCAACATCTATTAAGTTTTCAAAATAACATAAAATAGATGTCTGTAGGATTGTTCTTTATTTGTCGGTTGAAATGTTTCAACTAGGAGAATTTGAATAAATATTTAAATTAACAAATTATCATAGTAATATATTTATGTTTTAAATAAAAACAAAGAGGCGGAATATTTGTTGTTTAAATTATTGTCAAAATGACATCAAAAACAGAGGTTACATTAGAACATTTTTATATATTCAATGGCACGTATGCAAAGAAAGAGGGGGAGGCAAGTAATTAAAATTTATCAATAGAAAAGTATTTATACATAAAAAATTACATAATTTTTACTCTCTATGTACGTATATACTCTATATACAATTACATGTGTTTGTATGTTTTCTATGCAGGAAGAAAAAAAAATTCTTTATTATTATCCAGAAAAAGATTTAGATGTCCAGATTAAAAATATAGGGCTCAGTGAAGCAATTATTAAATTTGCACAGTAAGCATAAATATATTTTGAAAATTCTAAAATTTCTATCTTGATGTTTAGTGTTGATGTCATGTTTTTGCATTTGAAATTTTCTTTTATAGGTCATTTAATCCTGGGCAACCATGCGATTACTGTCACACACATAAAACTCGTCAAATTTATTATCAACCAGAACCAAATTTTTGGATGGTAATGGTAAGGTTCTATCATTGTTAAGAAAAGTATATAAATTACTTGTTTTGAAAGTGGCTTGAGTCACTTTTTCAAAACAATCAAATTAGTGATTAGATTAATTATAATTCTACATGATCTTTTCATTTTAAAACAATTTGCAGTTAATGTCAAAGCAATTAAAAATCGCTAAGATTTTGTTGATAAAAGTTTAGATAAGTAACAGAATGCCACTTATTCCACCACTTATGCCACTTTCAAAATAAACGATTCATATAAAAACACTATATACAATATTTGAAATCATGTCCACAAATACTTAAAAATTGTTATATAGATTGTTGGTGTACCATATATATGGAAGGAGAAAGATGGTAATAAGTATACAGAATATCAATATGATGAAGTTTCTAGCAGTGTTTGTCAGGCTCTATTGAAACAAGCATATGTTATGTTTAGACTATTTATGGGATCATTTGATACTATCATTAATGAACCTGAATGTGGATCTATAACATTGTTAAAACATAAACTTGAACATTTTTATTCAAGGGTAAGGAAAATCTGTAAAATGCACAATTTGTATATTTGTTAATATAATTTCTAATATCTTTTATTTTTTACAGTATTTAATGTCTTTAAAGTTGAATAACAGTGATATTTTGGACGTTTTCCAAGGCTTACAATTCTTACCTCTTGATAAAATAACATTTTTACGGGTTCAGTGTTTCATGAATCTAGTAGAAGCTATGTTTTCTCAAGTAAAATACACTGCATTTCTTTACAATGATCAAGTTGTGTGGTTAGTAATATAAATATTGTTATGCCACTATAATATATAACAATTAAAGAATTAATATTCATTGCCATTATTTAGGAGTGGTTTGGAGCCAGAAGATATGCAAGTAGTTTATAATTATCTAGTAAGTACACTTTTGCCAGCTCATCTTGAAAAAGAATTACACGAGGGTTCAATGCCCAGAAATTCACCTTCACCATTTACAACCACTCACTATGGAAAGTTAGTACATGCTAACTAGTTAGAAAATAATTAAATATTCTATATTATAACAATATAATAAGTTACATAAATTTTATTAGATTTGTCACTGGTCCATCTAGCATTAATGAACCAAGTTTAATCGGAAAATCTCCTAAAGTATTTATTAATTATTCTACGAAACCAGTGTCACTGTATTTAGTTGTTTATAGAGCATTAAGTGCTACAATATGCCTATTTGTTGATAGTAAGTATCTTCCCTTTTCTTCTTTTTTTTTAAATAATGAAGTAAACATTTTAAAAGACATAAAATTGGAGTGCTTATTTTACAGGTAAAACAAGTTTGTTAATAGATTTCTTTAAAAGTCTGGACAGCTTTCTTGGTCCGCAATTAACCACACTTGTTAATTCAGTTGCTGAACAATGTACTAAACATGTAACAGTTTCTTCTGAATCATGCAAATATCTATATTTCAATAAACTTAATTTAGCATATAAAAGTACAATACATCCAGATAACAGGAGATGCTCTAATGTCCTTACAACACCGGAAGTATTGAGAGTTATCACTGATATATATAATGATACAAATAAGTTAGTACATAATACAATAGCATTTTAACTTATTATTTTACAATTAAAATATATCTTTCTTTTTGTAATTTTAGATTAAAAGAAGCTGGAGAAATTATTATAAAAACTATGAGCGATTATTGGGTCGTTGGAAAGTTATCGAACTTAAGGGAATTTTTTGTAGTTATTCAACAAAAAAGTGCAAGTATAATGGAAATAGAAGGTATATATATACATATATATATATACATGATTATGTATTTATTTTATTATGATCTACTGATCTTCAGTTTAGAATTACATAAATGAGAATAACAATTTTTATTTCAGAAGATGTAAAAAAACTTTGTGAAAAGGAATTAAAGAGTATATTTTTCCATTAATGAAAAAGTCTGGTAAATTTATATAAATATTTAACGACTATTTTATATGATGACTAAATAATTGTTCACTCTTTTAATCGATCTACAAGTAATGTATAATCTGAAAAATAATATTATAACAATAGAAGTAATTTATATAAAATTTAATGTAAAATATAAAATCTGTACATACAAATTATATATTTTTAAAATATTTAAATTACTTAGATAGCATTTTTTTCAAATATTGTAGCTATTACAATATTAATTCATTCTATTTTAACTTAAAAATTATCAATTATCAAAGTTTCTTCCTCTGCATCTTTGTTTTTATGAATAATATTGGAGAATTTTTTTAATTTTGCTACAAAAAATCCATCCATATTATGTACATGTGGGTAAAATCGTTTAGTTAATTTTAATGAAGGATGAAATCTGTACTGTCTGTAGCTTGTAAAACCTTCGGCACCAAATTCTAATCCAGTTGGTATTAATTTAACATCACGTTTCTTAAGGGCATGATCAACGACCCATTCATTTTCTTCTGGAAGAATGGAACAAGTCGAATAAACAATAATTCCGCCGGATTCTGAACGTGCATTGACACAATCTATAGCTGCCAAAAGTAATTCCTTTTGCAATGTACAACAACGCTGTATGTCTACTTCGTCTTTATTTGTTTTAACACTGGGATCTTTTGAAACAACACCAGTACCAGTGCATGGTGCATCTAACAATACTCTATCGAAACTTTTAATCACCTAAAAGATACATATTTTAATAAAAATTTAATTATATCATACATTCAATATGTTCATATATGTATCATTAATGCTTACTGATGGTAACTTTCGTCCATCATAAGTACAAACGATCGAATTCACGATGCCAAGTCTGTGAAAATTGCCGACAACAGCTTTTATTCTTTCTTCATTTACATCGTTCGAAAAGATTACACCTGTGTTTTTCATAAGTGACGCTATGTGCGATGACTTTCCTCCAGGTGCAGCACACATGTCAAGAATCTTTTCATTTTCTTTGGGATCCAAAGCCATAACAGGTAGGAAACTAGATGCACCTTGTAGAATGTAATGTCCTGCTAAATACTCTGGTGTGGCACCCATAGGGACTTGCGAAGAGTAAATCACTAATCCAATTTTTGTCCATTTGCCAATGGGATCTAAATTAACTCCTCTATTGATCAAAGCCTAAAATATCAATGTTATAATAAATTAACAGATACCAAAAATATTCGTTACATGTATCATTCAATAAATACTTCAGCCAAGTCACGACGACGTGTTTTCAATGTATTCGTTCGTATCGTCATAGGTCTCTGGACTTCACTTGCTTCTAAAAATTCTAATAGCTCATCCAGTGGAAATATTTGCATCAGTTTTTCCATCAAGAAATTATTATAACTATAGTATGTACACAAGTCACTTCTAAGAAGGTCCATATATTCGGAACGGGATCTTTAAGAAACATAAAAAGGTAAAATTTCCTGAAATTCTTCCATAAAACAATCTTCTTTTAATCCCAAGAAGCATACCTATTTACATCGCGCAATTTTTTAAAATCGGATAATACCATGATAACGTCTTTTATACGTTGTTGTACATCTTTTAAATTAGTAACTTCTGCAAGTTCTTTTTCAGTGGGAAAGGTAAAGACAGATTGTTGCAAGGTCATTTCATGCATTTCCTCCTCCGCTAATTTTCTAATCAAGAAAAAAGTAAAATTAGAGTTTAAACATTAAGCTTAATGTAATAATAAATGATGCTCACTGTTCTTCTTCTTGTTTCTTTCTTAATTTTTTATTTGCTTTCTCAATAGGAAGTAGATCAACATCATTATCAGAACTATCTGTATCTTCATTTTGATTCATTTCCTCATTATCTATTTTTCCATTTTGTTCATATTCCTCAATGTCGTTGTAATTATCAATTTCATCTTTTGTATCATTGTTTAGTAATTTCTTTTTTTTAATTTTTTGTTGCTCACCTCGCATTACGTCTTCATTATCAGACATATTACTATCACTGTTGAACTGCATTTGATCATCTTCATGACTTAAATTATTATTTTTAAGTTGCCTTTTAAGACATTTCTTTTTCTTATTTGTTTTTAATTGTTTTGTCACATTTTTGACATTCTAATGAAAATGAGTACTTTATAAATATTTATATGTGTATATAGGATGTTCCAAATCTCAAGCATCAAACTTTGCTAATATGTCTGCCAATGTGTTATGCAATATGAGCAAAAAATGCATCATAAGCTGATACGTCTTAATTTTTGAGATATGAAAAGAAAGCCATTAGTACAAAGCATAAGTAATTAGATATACTGAAGCTACTTAACTTTTAATAATTATCATTTGGTTCAAATTATTTTTTACAGTGATTGATACTGGTTTAGACTGATTTGCACAAATTGTTCATGATGGTCATCTTTTGTCTTATCTGTACATGCAAGTAAACATGCTTCCATGGACGTCATTCTCTGTATATTAGCAAGGTTATTGATTTTTTCTATTAACTTATAACAAGTAGTACATTTCTCATACTATCGATAATTAAAAGTTTAATAGTTTTAGTGTATCTGATTACTTATGGCTTATATTACACTTCCTTTTATATCTTAAAAACGAAAATCCATTGACCCATGATACATATAACATTTTTTGTGACCTTCCAAATATGTTGATAAAGTTTGACGATTGAGATCTGAAACAATCTATATGTGACTTAATTACAGAAAAGAAAAGAAGAAAACTTACATCTTCGGTTAGAGTATCTTCTATTTCCTTTTTGCCTTTCGTTTTCTCTAACTTAGTTAACTTTTTATTTAAATTTTGCTTTTTTAGCAATCTTTTTCTTGCTCGTTGCCTCTGTCTATGACTTAATTCTTTTTCTTCTTTCACTGAGTAAATATAGTTGATCTTTATATACGCAAGCAATAAGTATATTTGTAAAATACATATAAGCAAGTTAATTATACATACCTAATATTCCTTTTGGAAATGTTGGATCTCCTTGTTTCTTTGCTTTTCTCCCACGACCACTTGGAACGATTGTATCATCAAACTTAGCTTTTCGTCCCATTTTAAAATACTTGTTATTAAAATTGCAATTGTTATTTAAACAGTTCTAATATTTTCATTAAACGAAACGTAAAAGTTTACGTTCATTCATACGCTTTTAAATCCTAAATGTATATAAATCATTAAATTTTGCATTTTTTATACGTTATATTAGTACATTTATGTAAAAGGAATTAAAATCAGAAAAGTGAAAAATTATGGATACTGCTCGAAAATTTTTTTCAAAATAAGCACGTGAGTTATAACCTTTCCTATCTTTCCTATTTATTATTTAACTAGCAAGTACTACCAACTTGGAAAATGTTAATGAAATTACATATAAACAATAAAATACATTTTTTGTTCAAAATTGTAGACGTTTAAAAAATGTATGACTGTTTTTATATTTTCTTTTGTACAATTCTAGAACAATGAAAGATTTTATTAAATAAGATATTACATCCTAAATTAATTAGTGTGTTACTAGAGAAATTTGATAGACGTTAAATGTCCCTATAATTTCGAGAGTAAAATATATAAGAATACACGTGTTTTATACGCAATGTTTGACTCGTTATAAGGATGTTTAATTAGACGAGACATATACTTTCAAATAAAATGGGAATAACAAAGCAAGAAGTACATCGACCTGGGACATTTAAACAAATTAACAAACCGCATAAAACAGGTAGACATCGCAGTAAAGGTTCAATAAGTAACGATGTTAAAGGTACGATTCCTTAGAATTTATATTACTTAATTAATAGTTTAATATTCAATTGATTTCTATATTTTCCAATATCTGCATAATGTAGGAAAAGTTGGAGTAAAGGTTTTATCAAAACGTGCTACTAAAAATCTTGGGAAGAATGCCCGTAGACATCAATCTTCCCAAATTAGAAAGAAGAAGAGAGAGGAAGTATTGCAGCAAAAAAGAAATTTGGGAGGCTCTGAGTCTGCACCTATTCTCGTGTGCATTATTCCATTGCAAGAAGATTTAAATATTGATAGTATCTTATCAATAATAACAAAAGCAGACGATTTTGCAAATATAATTAACAGCCCATGCGGTACAATACATTTAAGGTACGACACTGTGGCGATAAACGATGCTAATAAAAAATACAAAATATTAATTATTGATCTTTTGGAACAGTATACCTAGATTCAAACAACGATTTTCCATTGTCATTCCACCAGTTGGTAATCTATTTGCCACATTGGATGTAGCAAAAATTGCTACAACCATTCTTTTTGTCACGTCTGCTACAAATCAGTCCAATAGCAGTCCTAGAATGGAAGTAATTGATGATTGGGGGAAAGAAATTATTATGCCTTGTGTTGCTCAAGGTTTGACTACTCCTATAGTAGCACTTACAAATATTGAAAGTCTTCCGATAAAGGTATTGTGTTTCTGATTTATCTGTTGTCATATTTCAAATGAATATAATTTTAATTTCATGGATTTTATTGCAGAAACGTCAAGATTTTAAAAATCACGTACAATCTGAAATTTCTAAATGGCTTCCAGAGGAGAAAATTTTTCAATTAGATACTCCTACTGAGGCCTTTAATGTTTTACGGCGCATTGGTACTCAGAAACAAAGATCTGTATCTTATAGGAACAAAAGAGCTCATTTGTTAGCAGAAGAAATAAAATTTAAATGCAATGAAGTAGGTATAAATGCAATGAACATATATAATAATAAAAACATGAACTTACAATTAAATTTCATTTTATTTAGAATTCCACGGATGTTGGAACTCTTATGATCTCGGGATATCTTAGAAACGTTCCACTATCAGTTAATGGTTTGATACACATACCTGGATTCGGAGATTTCCAAATGTCTCAAATTGATGCTCCTGAAGATCCATATCCAGTGGAGAAAAAATCAAGAAAACATAATACGATGGATGAAGAACCGTCTGTGCGAATTCTCGAATGCGCAGATCCAAAGAGACAAGTAATTTTTCATCGAAGTAAAACAATATTTGAAACTTTAAAAACGATCACAAATTGTTTATTTCTTTAGGAATCTCTTGAAAGTGAAAATATACCTGATCCTATGGATGCTGAGCAAACTTGGCCTACAGAAGAGGAATTAGCTCAAGCTAAGACCGAGAGACGAAAAATTTTAAAGAGAGTTCCAAAAGGAACTTCTGAATACCAAGCAGCCTGGATTCCTGACGAGGATGCAGGTATTTTTTTTTAAATCTATAAATTAAATACATAGTGGAAATATATAGTATTTATTACTATATATGTATATGTAAAATAATGTAATTTTGTAGAAGAATTGAGCGAATGCTCGGACGATGAGTCGGAAGACAAGATGTCTGTCGATGAAGCAAAGTCTCAAGCAGATAGCGAAGTAGAGGCAGAAGAAGATGAGGAAGAATACGAGACAATCACTGTGTCCGAAGTTCCTGATGAACGGTACGATCAACATATCGATATGACAGAGGAGAAAGAAACAATGGAAAAATTCAAGCGTATGTTTGTAAAATACATGTATACATACATAACTTAACTAATGATGGAACTTTATTTATATATAAATATACAAATTTCAAATACAGATGCAAAATTAGATGCACAATTTCCTGACGAAGTGGATACACCTCAAGATATGCTGGCAAAACAGAGATTTCAGAAGTATCGTGGACTAAAGTCATTCAGAACAAGTTCGTGGGATCTAAAAGAAAACCTTCCTACTGATTACGCTAGAATATTTCAATTTGAAAATTTTGATCGAACGCGAAAGCGTATATTTAAAGAATCTCAGGAAATAGAAGGTGCTATGGTATGTTTATAAACAGTTGATTAATTAAAAATCAATTATTTATTAATGTTAAATTAAATTATACGAGTACTTATTCTTTTAGCCTGGCTGGTATATCACAATTCACGTTATGAATGTACGACAGGATCTTTTTATCACGTTCTCTGCATTGGAGAATTATCCATTAATCGTATTTGGTTTATTGCCAAACGAACATAAAATGTCTGTCTTAAATTTGGTATTAAAACATACCAATATTAGCCCACAACCAGTAAAATCTAAAGAAAAATTGATATTTCAATGTGGATTTAGAAGATTCACCGCCTGCCCAATATTTAGTCAACACACAAATGGGAACAAACATAAAGTATGTGTTATACTTTATAAGATTCAATATATCTTATATGTTATTGCTAAGTATAGAAACATATTTCAGAATGAGCGATATTTTCGACCAGAGAGTACTGTCGTAGCGAGCATGTTTGCTCCAATTACTTTTCCACCGTGTCCAGTATTGTGTTACATACAAAAATTGAATAAATCTTTGGTAAGAAGAATATACGAAAGATTGCCTCTATGCTTTTATTATTTATGCTTATACTTTTTATCAAAGTTATGATCCATTTTTATAGGAATTAATTGCAACTGGCAGTGTATTGTCTGCAAATCCAAACAGAATAGTCGTAAAACGAGTTGTTCTTAGCGGCCATCCGTACAAAGTGAATAAACGATCAGCGGTTGTAAGATTTATGTTCTTCCATCGAGAAGATATAAACTGGTTTAAACCAATTGAACTACGAACGAAATATGGTCGTAGAGGACATATAAAAGAACCATTAGGTAAATAATTCTTAATTTAATTAAGATGTAATTAATGTAAAAATTAGATAAAAAGAATAGTAAAAATAATATATTGTTTCTATCTAGGTACGCACGGACATATGAAATGTATATTTAATGGTCAACTGAAGTCACAGGATACGATTTTAATGAACTTATACAAACGAGTGTTTCCAAAATGGACATACGAGCCTTTATTATTAACAGAGTTACAATATCAGAATGAAGGCATGAACGTAGAATAAAATATATCAATCAAAAGTATTAAAATGTACATACTGAATGTATACTGAATAAAATTTCGTTATATATTTGAAACATATGATTTACATTTTCGTCTTTAACAATATGCGAAATAAAATCTAATTTTAATTTTAATTTTAGTAACATGATTTCGATATATCGCGAAACGTATCACGTGATTTACGATTTACCCAATTAGCTTCTTTTAAACAGTATTTTATGTATTCTTTCAAAGGTAACATTGTTGTGTGTAAAATTTAATTGACTAACATTTAATAACAATAGTGTTTAGACAAGAATCTTTCTAAGAACAAATGGACTTGGACATTTCTTATATTGGTAATTAGTATAATTTAATATCAATGAAAATGTTGACAAACAAATATAGACATTTGACATTGAAAATAATGAACCTAAATCTTCTTGAAACAAATGTCTATTTAAAACAGAGCCTTTACTTGACGAATGGTTAGAAGAACTTCAATTAATCATTAAAGTACAAGAAAAATTAATCAAGTCTACGGACGAATTTTATATGCCATATATAGGTAATTTGTTGTACTCAAAACTGTAACCCTTTGTTTTCATTCTCATCCACTTTGTGTCTACTTTACTAGACTTTAATTAACAACAAACTTCTCATTCGTTAAATACTATTTTCAGCTGTACCAATTCCTATTGTCAATGCAATATATAAAATAACAGAGTATCTTCATTTAGAACGAGATATTAGATATATTACTATTCACTTATATGATAAATTTATGTGCAACTATTTCTGGGAAATGTATAAAAAAACTGATGGCACGCAAAGTTCTTGGTCACAAATTTGTAAAAGCATATCAAGTCATTCAATATTGTATCTCATGTCCTGCTTACAATTGGCATATAAAATGAATTCACATTTAAACAACTTGAAAATACCGCAAGTATATATACACACTTTTATTTTGAATTTATCGATAATAGTATCTTAATATTTTGTATAATATATAGGTACTTGGTATTTTACAACGCCTAGATAAAAAATCTGTATATACACGCAAGATAATTGTTTCATCAGAATTTAAGGTATTTAAAACTATTGGATTCAGAATGCCACTTTATACTCCGTTAAATTGCATAGAAATTCTACTGGCTGCAACAGGCCTGAAGGACACTCCAAGGATGCAAGAACTTACTATAGATTTATTGGATTTATTTTATCTGCAGGTCTGAATTTTATTAATAAACTATTTCTAGAACATTGGTATTATATCATAAATAACATTAATATCATTAATAAAGCAAATGTGTTTATAGAGAAAGAAATTATACTCCCATTTGCAATGTTTAATCCAAGGATATATTGCAAGAACTATAGAAGAGAAGAGGAGTCTTATGGCATTAGAATCAAATGTATTATTTTTAGGAGCTTCTGTAATTCTTTGTGGGACATTTTTCTTATATGTAAAGAGTGAAACGATAGACGTTATTGCTATAAAATTATCACAGTTGGTAGATATAAAAGTTAATAATATTTGGGATATGGCTAATATTCTTCTCACAATGGCAATTCAAGAATAAATATATAAATTATAATTTAATAATAATTATTTAAAAAATTATATGAAATTTTTGTACATTATACGAAATTACATATTAACAAATTTGTATAAATTGTTTAGAAAATAAGAAAAAGTGATTTTGTTTTTCTAATATTAATCATTTATTTACTTTGAAAGCTTAAAATTAATTATTAAAGGTGTATGTTTTTAATGACAGTTTTAGATTAATTTTATGTGCCCTCTATATGTAAATTTACAAAGGAATATAATTCTTATACATACCGCTAGGTGAAACATTAAGTGTATATGTGTATGTAATTCTATGTATGTGTATATAATTCTTATACATACATATATATATGTATAAGTTGTGTTATTTCTCGGCCATAGTACATATGCACATTCGTCACAAATATTTTTTACTTTTTTACTAAGTTCAGAATTGAAGAAACAATTCAAGAACTTACAAATTAACAAATTATAGTTAGCATAGGATTTTTCATTAGATCATATAAAGAAATATTTAACAAATATTTAATGTTTTTTTGATTTTTGTAAATTGACACAGTCATTGATCATAATCACTAGAATTCGATAAGATTTTGTAATAAAAGTGCCATAAAAATAAACTTATGAACATTCATATTTTTATTGATACGATTGAATATAAAAACGTACATTAAATGCAAATTACTTGCACGAAATAATATTTATTTTCTGTAATGTTTCATAAGATCCAGAACTTTATTATATACCCAAGTATCTACATGCTTTCCCCACACAAAATCAAGATGCGCGAAATTGTCGGATAAAAACTTCTGAACATTGGGCAATGATTTGTACAACTGATGTAAGTCCTGGAAATATTAAAACGAAGGAAAAAATTGAAAAATTTGGAACAAATTGAAGATTCGCAAAAAACATCATACAAACCTGAACGTCAACAAACATATCATTGGCGCCGTAATACAAATACACTGGTAACTTGACATTGCCAAGATTATAATCAGGAGGATTCTTTTGGCCGTATTTTTTTATGTTACCGACAACGCCATAGTCAAATTTCTGGAACTTGCCTGTGAAAGAAAAGAATGTACTGTGAAAAGAAAATTGTAAAATTACTATATTAACCTGTATGTTTGATCATTGAATATTAACCTGAATGAATCAATTGACCATAATGTGCGAATTGTCTAACAGACGCACCAGCAGGATCATATTGTGGGATAAGAGGCAATAGATCCTATAAATTAAAATCAAGTTCAATCGAAAACTATTATGCATAATCATTAATTAATAATACATTATTATTTGCCTTTGATTACCGTATTAAGTTCTTCATCGAAACCAGCAAATAGGAATATGATGTTTTTACACAACGGTTGCAAAGAAGGATTACGACAAACCTTTTTTCCAATCATTTGTATAAGTTTGTTGGACGCTTTAAATTCATACATACCTATTAAATCCGCTAACAACTATAAAAAGATGAAAAATGCAAAAATGCTTCATCTAACGTTAAAATTAGTAATTTCGTTTCATTATCGATTTTGGTAATTAATAATTTTATAAAATTGGAAATTTTAGTAACTATTAATCTTAATGATTATCAGCAATAGTAAAATTAATTTTTGAAGCGTACATTGATATCGTTAGCATGAGGGGCCAACGCTTGGAAAAGAGGACTTTTTGTGTTAGACATGAAGACTGCCGGTGCCATTGGAAAAGAAGCGACTATTTTCTCCTGATATTCTGGCCTTTCACTAGCCATAACAAAAAATGCCGTACTACCCTGGCTATGTGTTATCATAAAGATCTTCTTTTGCGTTGTGTGGTTGATAATGTGATCGATCATCGCTGGGATATCATATAATCCCATTTCATGCCAACTGTACGAACGAATCAACTGTTATGTTATCAAAATGAAATGACTTGATCAAAATCAAAATGCAGATAAATCTCAACGAGCGATTATTCCAGTTATACCTGAACATCCAAAAATCTGAGTGTGAAGGAGACAAGTCTAAGTGCTTCCGTGAGTATCTGTTGCCGCGCACATTGCCCATCCATACATCATATCCTTGGTCTGCTAATATAAAACCTAAAGTTTGGGAGAAAATATTCAAAAAAGTTCGTCCATTATACCAGAATATAATGAATAATATTTTGTCGTTTCTTAAGAACGAAATGTGCGATATACAGTGACGACCGGAGAAAAGTTTAGAAAGCAAACAGCACAAGATAATTTAAAACTTCATAAAATGGAATTGTGTTTAAAAAGTGCAGCAATGCATGTAACATACGTACATCTTAAAATTAGAATATTAGTAAGGAAATGTCTAATTGATAACTAATGTTTGTAATTAATGCTATTCACATAGACAAATACCAATTTTAATCACTTTGTTTGCCACTACAGGACTGTCTTATAAAGAAAAAAAAGAAAAATATGTGATTTGATAATGACCTAAACCCTTTTTGGGACCTCCCAGAAGCCATGTTGCCGAGCAATCTAAAACTCCATGAAGAAGTAGTACAGCTGGCTTATTGTTAGACGGAGGACTTTTCTTTGATCCAGTAATCCTATCCAATTGCAGAACATATCGATCATGTGTGATGACTTCGTAAGTTTCAGCTACGTAACCCGCTTCTTGCGCTCTATCTTTCTAAAAAAAAAAATGCACGCATTCATTTGAGTGAATTGGAAACTGCGAATAAAATGGTACGCATCGCTGATTTTAATGAGATTTAAATATATTGTTGCGATGAAAATTTTGGACAGCTTTTCACTAATCCTTGCGCGATTTTAATTTCGAAGATATTAGCGAGAAACTGTTGTTACTATTATATTGAATTTTGTCTGCATATATACGTCCACGACGCGTATATATCAGACTAATATTTGCGTATTATCTCAACAAATATGTCGCGATGGCGAAATATACAGGTATATAATGGACAAACTTCTCAAAACAAATTTGCTTCTTATAGATTTAAAACTGGCGTTGTAGTATACAGATAAAATAACATCCAACATAAACCTAATATTTATGCAGCCTATACTGACTTTACGTCAGTATAAATCTCTTGTAAATTTATTAAAATTGTAATATTACACTTGTAATATTTATTAAAATAATAAAATAATTAAATTCATTAAAGTGATAAAATTTTGGAAAGATTACTATATCGTAAGATATCTGTAATGATAATTCTGATAGTTTCTGTATAAATAATATTTCTTAAACACAACTGCTGTTTCAAGAATTGTACAACGTTCTTGCAAATAATGAAATTCTTGCCCGGAATGTATTTTAATTAATACAGTTAATACAATTACCAACAAAATATACTTACGGGTGTTAAAACTTTTATAAATGTTGCGTTAGAAATTTCGTTTGTTTCATACTGTTGCCCTATAAGAGGTACTCCTAAAGTTACTGGCAGCACCCAACAGAAAATATATCTTTTAAGCATTGTCGTAGGTGATACAATAAGCAACTACGAGTTAATTCATGGCTTTATATAAGTTTGTTACAGCTTTATATATATATATATATATATATATATATATATATATATATATATATGTCAGTAGATTCTCAGGTGGCATTATCTTATATAAAAAAATAGCGGCTTAAATCGTTATCAATTATCGATTATCGGATCAAACGTCGATTTAAAAAAAATACATATAAAACGACGTAACTAAAAAACATAAATCTTTTGTTGACATTATGCTGCATGATTTATATCAAATTCAGATTTTTTTTTGCATATTTTCATATTTTTATCTTTCTCATACATGAATGAAATTCATGTAAACAATGATAATTAAAAACAACGATTTTCAATCCTCAGTATACAACTTTGATTTATTACCTGCATGATTTGAAAGAAGATAGATACGAGTAAATAAGAAAAACAGCAACAACTGTAAAGTAGCCCATTTTATTCGAAGATGTCTGACATTTATCAATTAGTGTTCTATGTCTGATATTTATCAATTATTATATATTTCTTTATTTCCTATCTAACACTTATAGATTGGTAAATATTTGCTACGGATCTGAAGAATGACTATGAAATAAAACATCCAGGATAAAAAATAATTAAATACCAATTATTTTTTCTTCCTCTAAGAAAATTATTTTTCGTATGCGTAAAAAAGGAATCGTTTAGTTTTGTAAACGAGTAGTCAGCAAATCTTTATTGGCTAGTTTCTTTGAGAATTATGAAACTTGTTTGTCTAATTTATCAGATCGTTAGCGGAAAACATAGTTCGCAGTTTTCGAATTTTTGGACGTTCAGCTTCTTTCTTCTAAATCTCATTTTAATTTAGAAACATTTTTCAAAAAGTTTTTATTATAGTATTCGAATTGTATTATATAATATATAGGATATATTTTCATAACGACAATGGGCTGTTTTAAAAATTTGACTTCCTATTTATTTATCCGTAAAATTTCGGTGAAATCGTTTGAGTGAGAGTTTCAATTGAGAGAGAAAGAATTTGTTATGATATTAAGATTTATGATGAAAATATCGGGAATATTCCTTTAATTTTCTTCCATAAACTTCTGTATAGAAAAATGCCCCATAAATTGCTGAACACACATTTATCATTTAGCAAAGTTTCAAAACATCTGTTTCACTTGGACTTTTTATAAATACATTAATTAATTAAAAGAGACTGCATAAATGAAAAATACTGTAACAAATTCCAAGAATTTTTGAATTTTTACATTGACAGTTCGTTTTTAGTTTCGAAAGACCCTGATGGTGGATTGGCCAACAAATCAAAGGGAAAAGAGAGAGGATTCCAAATATAAAATTTTTATTTCGGTTATTTGTTAATTTTTGAAACATTAATAAAAAGTGTCGATACAATTCACTGAATTCTGCGTATACAGGTATTATTAATAGGCATAATTAATGTAACAATCCTCGATGTAGTAGTCACTGTTGGTAATCGTCGAATAGTCGTAAATACAATAGCAGTGTCTGCGGATTTTTATGCATTTATGAAAAATTTGGCGACGCGCACAGTGCAAATACAATAATACGAAAAACTTTGTAAAATAATTAAAATTAAATATATAATATTCCTTAATAATAAAATTATTAAGTAATAAAATTAAATATATAATAATCCTTAATAATAAAATTATTAAGTAATAAAATTAAATATATAATAATCCTTAATAATAAAATTATTAAGTAATAAAA